CTGCTGCACAACTCCAGGTGGAGAGGATGCAGATGCTTGCTCCCCCACCCGCACAGGACGCTCTCCCTCGGGAAACCTCCCCTGACAGAGGCGCAAGGTCATGGAGCTCGCCCCAGGTCTCTACCGGACCGGTCGCTCCAGCCCACGTCAGTCATGAGTCAGCATCACTGATGTGTTTGAGGCGCCGTCCTGAGGTGCAAGATGGAGGAGAGGGACCCCACCCTCCGAGGCGGCCGGCCACATCGCACACCTCCCAGGGCAGAGCCGACTGTCGTCAGCGCGAGGCAGGCTGTCTGCTGCAGATAGGACGCATGTTCTCCCCGGGAGGCGTGTGGGAGGGTATGATGAGCTTAAACCCTCAGAGCTAGAGACCCCCCAAGGTAACATTTAGATCTTTATGAAGTCTTCATCAAGGCCTTCATCATCACCCTCCTCATCACCCTCATCACCCCCCACCCCCAGTTTATCTTCGCTTTAAAATCCTTTCTTAAGGGCCTCCCTGGTGGTGCAGCGGTTGAGCACTGGGTTGCAAAGCTGCCCGCAGGCTCTACAGTGCTGATTCGATCCCCGGCTGCTCCCCGGCCACCGGAGGAGGGTCCCACATGGCGCGCAGACCTCTCCTGCCGCCCGCTGCTCCCCTCAGCAGTGTACTTCGGTCCTTCTGCCTGCTCTGCTCCCCGCTCTGGCTCTGGTGAATTCTCTCACCCTCCCATGCTTCTGACTGTACCCAGTGCTTGTATAAATAAAAATAATAAATATTTAAAAAAATAAATAAATAAAATCCTTTCTTAATTTGAGAAATGTGGGAAGGTAAAAGAGAAATTGTATTATTTTTTTGAACCCAGAAAGTCCTGGCTCTGTTATAATTAACAAAAAATATTTACGTTTATCTCCTCTCACGTTCTAAGTATCAAGAAGCTGACCATACTTCAGCAGACAGCCTGGGAATCCATCAGCTACCAGTTTATTTGGTGTTTCCAATTTTCATATCATGTCAGTGACGGGGCCGCTCAACTTGGCTCCACTATCTAACAAGGATGTCCCTCCCCAGCTGCCTAGTCCCTTGGTCCCCACTTTCCTTGACGTTCTCATCAGCAGCCTCCTCCAGCACCCCCAGGCGTCTACTCAGTCTTTTGAAGGCCTTGTCTTTGCCAACTCACCCTAGACCACTGTGGCACATTTAGGATTTTGTTTTCTAGAAATAGCTTCCAGATACTTCAATCTGCTATAGGCACCAAAGCCAAAAGAATTATCTGAAATCAAGTAGCTTAAAACAGCCATTCATTATGTTTCTGGGTTCTGCAAACAGGAATTCAGACCAGGCACAGGGGACAGCTTGTCTCTATTCCATGAAGACTGGGCCCTCAGCTGGTGGCTTTTAGCATTTTTAGTAAATGGTGACCTCCACAGGACCACAAATAGAATGAGTATCTTTTGAACCAATGGGAGAAAAACTCTCTTTTCAATGCAAAGTAAAAGACAGAAAGAAAAAGAACATATAGTAAATAAAAAGTAGGAAATAAAATGATGGATCAATCCTGACACAACAATAATTAAGATGAATGTAAACTGGCTAGTTTTGCCAATTAAAAGACAGAAATCCTCATTTTTGAATAATAAAAATCAATCCAACAAAATGTGTACATGAGACACTCTTACAACGAGAAGGCAGGAGAAGTCTGGAAGTAAAAGGGTGGAATACATCAGGCAAGGGTGAACCAGAGAAAAGCTAGGAGAGCAACCTCTTAGATTAAGCAGAATTTAAGACAAAAATGCGTGCAATAGCACAGAGATAAAAGGAAAATAAGCAATAAAGAGGATATAATTACCAGAAGTACGTGTGCTTTAATAAGCTCAAAATATATCAAGTCATCCACAGAAACAGTAATTCCAAAGAGCACCTGCACCCCTATGTTTATAGCAGCACATTTACAATAGCTAAGCTATGGAAGCAACCCAAATGCCCAAACATAGATGACTGGATCAAGAAGATGTGGTCCATAGACACCATGGAATATTACTCAGCATTCAAAAAAGATAAACTCATGCCGTTTGCAGCAACATGGATGGTGCTGGAAGGGATCATGCTCAGCGAAATAAGCCAGAAAGAAAAAGAAAAATACCGGATGGTCTCACTCATAGCAGGAATCTAGAAAACTTAAATAAGGGACCAGGAAAATGAATAACTATAAGAAAGAAAAAATCAAAATCAGCAAACAACTACGAACCAGAGACACACTATGGAGGGGTGGGGAGTGGGGAAAGGAGGGATTGGGGTCAAAATAAGAGGGTTGCAATTGTATGGGGAATATAAAAATAAAAAAAAAATCAAGTCATCACTGACAAGAGAGAGAAATGAATGAACAATTGCGATGAAAGATTTTGACATTTCCCATTGAGAAACTAAAAACTCAAGTAACAACACAGATTAAATAGCTGAGTAAAATAATAAAAATTTAAACAATGCTATAGCAACTTGAGCTTATTATTTTGTATTATACATACACACATATACAGACATGCATAGCAAACAGATTGCAGAGGTAATGCCCCTTGTTTTTTTAAGAAAACGAGGAACATGTACAAAAACAAACATATATGATTGTAAAAAGAAGCTCAATAAGTTCCAAATGTTCAATATCAGAGATGACATTCTTTAAAGTAAAAAGTAAAAGTTAATAACAAAAAGTGAAAGTTAATAACAAAGTAAAAGTAGTCTAAGATTCTAAATAAAATGAATGTCATACTATGAAATTAGCCTTGGGCCAAAAATGAAACCATGAAGGAAATTAAATATGTCAATACTTAGAAAATACTGGGAATAGTAAAGTACAATGTTGAAAACTTTTCTCAATACACTTCTACGGATACTGGAACGATTAAAAAAATAAGAAAGCTAAACATTTAACTCAAGAAAACAGAAAAAGAGCAAATAGAAAACCTAGAGAATTTGAAAGGATGGAAAGAAATAAAGATAAAGGCAGAAACCAACAAAACAAAAGTTTTTAAAAACAGCCCTTTGTAAAGATTAATTAGCTAAACAGCTCTCTTTAACAAGACTTCTCTGGCCTCCCTGGTGGCGCAAGGGGTTAAGCACAGCACTACGAAGCAATCCGCAGCCTCTGCAGCATGAGTTAGATCCCTGGCCAGCCAGGGAGCAACCCACATGGCGCGGCAGACCTCTCCTGACTCACCGCCTACTCCCCTCAGCAGTGTACTTCGGTCAGTCTGCTGTTCTGTTCCCTGCTCTGTCTCTAGTGAATCTTCTCAACCCCCACACCTCTGGCCTGTACTCCAGTTCTTGTATGCATAAATAAATAAATATTAAAAAAAAAAAAACAAGGTTTCTCAATGGGGAAGAAGAAAAAGATGTAAATAAAAATAGGGCCCAAGGGCCTCCCCAGTGGTGCAGCAGTTGAGCAATGCGCTGTGAAGCTGTCTGAAGCCTCTGCAGCGCCGGTTCGATTCCCCGCCAGCCAGGGAGAACCCCACATGGTGCGGCAGACCTCTTCTGTCTCGCCTGCTGCTCCCCTCAGCAGTGTCTTTGGTCCGTCTGCCTGTTCTGCTCCCTGCTCTGGCTTTGGTGAATCCTCTCACCCTCCTGCGCTTCTGACCTGTACCCCAGCTCTTGTGTAAATAAATAAATCTTTAAAAATAATAGGGCCCAAAAGAGTTTGAAATAATTACATATCATATTAATATAACAGATTTTTAAAATAATTATAAAAGGACATTATGGATAATTAACTTGAAAACCTAGATGAAGTAGATAAATTCCTAAATACAAATTCCAAAACTCCCCTAGGGATTAAAACCTGCTAAGACCAATAAGCACTAATAAAACTGAAGTGTGCCCAGAACTCGAGACCCAGTTATAGACCCTACTTTCCTCTCTCCTAATGGAAACAGCTCCCCTTGTTCGCAAAGGGAAGTAATGGTGCTGGCAACACAGCAGAAAGTTCAGGACCCTGCTGGGCTTTCACAACGTCATACCCTTTCTGTACTGTGATCAGTCCAGGATGGACAATCATGTCCAGAGTCCTTGGGGGACTGACATGAACACACTCTCTCTCTCTCACACACACACACACACACACACACAGAGACAGAGAGAGAGAGAGAGAGAGAGAGAGAGAAACTTGTTCTTAATATCAAATAACCACCTAGAACCAAATAACCTGGAGCTTCAGTGGCTACTTTTGGCCCCACCATGGAAACACTGAAGCGGAAGACGGAGCCGAGAAAGAGTCTATACAAGAGCCAGAGAGATCTGGATCCAGCCATGCCTGAAGGCCTCTCCACCCTTTTGAACTCTCCATCATGAGACCCAATACCTTTTCTTTTGCTTTAAAGCAAAAGCCTATAATCCAGAGAACCGATGAAGAAAAATGTGGGGCCCACAGACTTTAGAGTTGAATGGTCTTGGATTTGAATCTCAAGAGTAGCTCATTTATGGTCTTATGCCTCAGTTTCTTCATCTAATAAAGAGTGATAACACTATCTTCTTTATAGGGTCATTGTGAAGATCAAATGAGGTAATCCTTTGGGAAAACTTAATCGGTTTCATTCCTTGTCTGTTTCTCCCTCCAGATTGAGGTCCCCTTGAAAGCCAGACCTTGTTGGACTCACTCCAGCTTAGCAGCTGGTTCCTCAGGGGGGTTGTATAATCGTGCTAATTACCTGTGCCTCCTATGCCAGCTGCCACCTGGCAACCACACACACTGATGCAACTCCAGCCACGTTTTAATATTAAAAAACGATACTCCAGGGAATGTACGGAGAGGAAAGTTAATTTGCAGCATTGCTACATTTATTCAAATTTCTTGGAGAAGTCTCCCATTGGTTCGTGACTGGGGGGAGGGGACCACCAAAAGGTGAAAGCCACTGGCCCCCCTCTAACCATTAACCAGCAGGGAACCCAGCCAACAGGATTTAGCCAGTGGCAGCCCTGGCGGCTAACTGTCGGCGAGCTAGAAGCATCCAGCAGGACCCAGCCGCTGTCCAGCGAGTCCCTGTCCCTGCAGGCCGTGAGTAGCGCCCAGGCCGCCCCATCCCTCCTGCTCCAGCTGCCTCCTGAGCAAAGCGATGATGCAGCCGCTGATTTTTTTTTTTTTTTTTTTAACGGGGTATTGAACACAAGGGCAGCCTGGAGGGATATGAGGCAACCCTTGGGAGGGCTTCCCAGAGTCAAGAGGTCACCCACCGGGCTCAGATGTCCCCTGGCCTCCTGCCTGGCAGCAGTTGACATTGAGCTAAGAGTCATCCCCACCGTCTTCGTCGCCAGTGCTGCTCAGCTCACCACCATTACATGCTGCACCAAACGGGGCTGGAGGGCTGGGATGGAGCTGCACGAGGCAGTGCCCCATCTCGGGGACCAGGCTGGGGAGGGGTGCCGGTGGTCCAGGGCTGACTGTGCATTCATTCAACAGTCATACCCCCTCATCAGTGACCTGGGCCCTGGCATGGCAGATAGAAGGGAACTGTCTCCATTACCCCAGGAGTTGTGAGGTCCAAAGGCAGGACCACACCTGCCCCGGGCTGTGGCTGCAGGTTGGGGGACTCCTGTGAGAAATGAGGAGCTAAGAGAGGCACATGGAATGCAACACAGGCACAGCACTGACACGGCACTTTTACTCTGCTGGAGACTTTGCAGGGAGCTGCATTATTTGCCATTTGGCTTTATATGGAGACGCAGAAGGTGGAGCCGCAGGCTCTGAGGCCGTGCAGGGTCCAGCCCCTGCTCTGAGCTGTTGCCTCCCTGGCCCTTAGTGTTCAAATCTGTACAGTGGGCCCAGGATGTGGGCCCAGAATGCCCTTAAGAGAGGCCACACGGGCAAGCCTTGAAGGCAGCTGTGACTGATGTGCACAGCCACCCGTTCGGGGGCAGGGGGCAGAGTTTGAACCTCCTCTTTGGAGGGTTAGCACAGCAGGGGATGAGCTTCCAAATCCCCACAGACACAGCAGGGAAAGTGGGGGAAGTGAGAGCTCCAGTGAGCTGCCCACAGCTCCGGGGCCTCGCCCCAGAGGGATCAGAAGACCAGGGGAGAGATGACAGGGGCCGAGAGAGCACCTTCCTGGAGGAGGTGCCCTGGCACGTGAGTGGCAAGGGACGTGAGGCCGCGAGTCAGCAAGGCAGGGGTGTCTACAGCTCCCAGGCTAGATCCAGGCTCCACAAACATCAGAGACCTGAAGTGACCCAACCTGCCCTGCCCCCGACAGGGGGATGACATGTGGTGGGGGGAAGAACCCCCAGACACCCAGCACTGCGGTGGCTGAGATTTCACAGGACCAGATTGAGGCTGAGGACAGGGTTGTCTCCAGGGATGGGGTCCTGAGGACCCCCTGAGCCACGTCCCTGAGGATCAGCCTGTCTGTGAGTCTTGGGGGCTGGGGCTGGGCAGCTTTCCGTGGGAGCAGGGTAACCAGCTGGAGTTTCAGGGGATGGCTTCAGAAGGGAGTTGGGGTTGGAGGGAGCCGAGCAGGAAGCAGGGAGTCCGGGAAGGGGGTGACTGCTAAATGGTGAGCCCTGAACTTGGGTTGTGTGCTGAGAGGAGAAAACTCCCCCAAAGAGAAGGTAAATGGGCAAAGCCGGGGGTGGGCATCATGGAAGCTGGGGTGGTCTAAGTGGTCTCCCCGAGTCGCGCAGTTCAGAATGGCAGAGCTGGGCTCCCCGTTCATCTGGGGAAGATGCAAGAGAAGGAGCGACGCGTCTGTAGAGCTGGACGGCCGGGGAGGGCCGCAGGGCAGCGGGGCTGCTACCACAGCAGAGAAGGGGGTGGGCCAAGCCACTGCAGAGCTGTTTCCCGGCTCCAGGGACAGAGGGAGGGCTGCAAGAGGCCCCCGGATGAGGGCTGCTGGCACCTGTCTCTCATGAGGTTCTGGGTGTGCAGCACACCCCCACCCTGGGAAAGAGACAGGCAGTGCCACAAAGTGGGATGCAGTCTTGGGGGTACTGCTTTCACTATGGGTCCCCCGACACACACACGGTGGCTGGTTCCCTAGGTGGGGAGTTGCGGGGAGCTCACCTGTCCTGTAAGGCCCCCTTCTTCACCGGAAAGCTGGGGACCCCTCCTTGCGAGCAGAAGGTCCACATGCTGATTTGAGCCTGCCTGGAGGTGGGTTTCTAATTGCTGCCACGAAACATTCTTAGTAAGTTATATTTAATTTTCGCGTTCATTTTTTATTGTGGCTTCAGACCCAAGCGAACCCCTCGAGTGTGTGCGGGGCGTGGCGCCGAGCCCACCCCACCCCCTCGCCGCGGAGCTGTCACCACGCCCACAGCTTTTCCACCTTTCTTGGCTGCAACGCTGCCCAGGAGGCACGGAGGCCCCGTCTGCTCCATCGCACTTAGCGGGACGGGAGTCTGACCCGCGAGGTCCCCCACGCACGGAACCACTCACGCTCTGTCTTCTTCTGTCTTCCCGGAGAGGGTGTGCCCAGGCTGCAGCCCTGTGACAGCCCGCGCCAGAATTCCCTCCCCTCGGGCTCGGCAGTGTCCCACCGGGCGCCTGGCACCCTGGGGCGCCATGGAAGGGGCGTATTGGTCTCTGCCCTGGTTTCCGACACAGAGAGCCTGAAATCCTTGCGATTCCCTAAGTGGCAATGCCCTGGCAGCATCTTTTGTGCCAATGTTTGGTCTTTGACCCCAGTTCCTGACAGAATCCCTAAGTCCCTTGAGATTTACGGGTGATAATAATGTCTCTTGTTCTCAGGAAGAGCCCCTGGGTATCTCCTGGATCACTTCAGGCAGGGGCAGGTCACCAGAAAGAACAGAAGCTGCCCCTCTGGGCCCCATTCCCTGTGCCCGGGGTAGGGGAGAGGCCTGGAGACTGAGTTAATCATCAATCATGCTCAGGTGAAATGGGATGAAGGTATAAAAGTCCCCAAAGCACAGGGGTTCAAGGAGCTGCCGTGTTAGTCCACACATCCCCCGGCAAGAAGGGGTGCACATCAACCACACAGGACAGAAGCTCCTGCCCTGGGGACCCCTCTGGTCCTCACCCTGTGAGTCTCTGCATGTGACTGCTCGTTCAAATCGTTAGTCATCTCCTTTCGAGTAAGCTGGTAAGCTCAGTGTTCCCTGAGTTCTGCGAACCATTCTAGCAAATTCCAAACCCAGGGAGAGGGTTGCGGGGACCTTGATTTCTAGCCCATGGGAAATATGGGTGACACCGGGGGACTTGCAATTGGTGGGTGAAGTGGAGAGAGCAGTGGGACAGAGCGCTTGGCTCATGGGGCATAATGCCCTCTCCGGACGAAGATGTCGGAACTGAGTTCAGCGTAGGACGCCCAGCAGGTGCCAGAAAATTGTTGGCTGTGTAGAAAATCCACACGTCTAGTGTCAAAGCGTGGCAGCGAGGTGCGAGTAAAGGAGAAACAAAGGCATGTTCTCCTTTCACAACCTCATTTCTCCTGTCCACCCTCTGGTGGACATTTGGACTGTTTCCATTTCTTTTGGCCATTGTGAATCATATAGGTAGGAACATCAAGGTCCATCTGCTTGAGCCCCTCACGAATTCGTTTGTGCATACACTCAGAAGTGGAATTCTGAGATCAAATAGTGATTCTGTACTGAACTGTCACACTCTTTGCCACACAACTGCCCATGAGCCACACCCACGCTCTGTATGGAACATCTTTTTCAGCCCCCGCCATTCACACGGCCACGTCAGCTAACAAGCACTCCCGATTCGGCAGGGCCTGGCAACACTGGAAAATGCTGCTCCTTCCGTATACCTGTCTCCTCTGGCTGTCGACCACGGGCCTCTGGACTGTCCACGCCAAGGATGCCAGTGCTGACGTGAGCCCCAGGGGCCCTCACCGGAACCTGGCTCCTAACAATGTGGACTTTGCCTTCAGCCTGTATAAGTATCTCGTGGCCTCCACTCCTGGCAAGAATGTCTTCATCTCGCCTGTCAGCATCTCGATGGTTTTGGCTATGCTGTCTCTGGGCGCCAGGGGCGACACGCGGGCCCAGATCCTCCAGGGTCTGGGTTTCAACCTCAGTGAGATATCTGAGGCTGAAATCCATCAGAGCTTCCGACACCTCCACCGCCTCCTTGGGGAGTCAGACACTAGCTTGGAAATGACCATGGGCAGCGCCTTGTTCCTGGACCACAGCCTGGAGCTTCCGGAGTTGTTCTTGGCAGATACCAGGCGCTACTATGAGCTGGAGGCCTTAAAGACAGATTTCCAGGACTGGGCCAGAACTGACAGACAAATCAAAGAGCATATCAAGAATAAGACCCAGGGGAAAATCTCAGACTTGTTCATGGAACTGGATGGCCCAGCCAGCCTCATCCTGGTCAACTACATCTTCTTCACAGGTACTCCCGATTCTTCCAAGGGCCCTGCCAGGAATAGTAATAGCCATCAAAACCCAAGGGACACGCTTGGGCAAAGACTTTAATTTTACTAAGCACTCCGCTCATAATAATCCTATTTGGACATTGGAATTATACTGGCTTGTAGAAGGTCAAAATGAGATCTAGAAGAATTGAGTGACTGTCCCAAGTTCACGCAGGTAGATTTTAGGCCAAACACCTGCGCAAGAATAGTCTGGCAGCCTCACAGTCTATAAACACTGGCCGAACCCTGGCTGTGAGTCAGGCACTAGGCCAGGGTCTGTAAATACAGCCTAGAGCCGGCCAGATCCCCACCCTCAGGAAGGCCAGCAGGACCCAGACTACCCTGCACACATCCCCGACTGCTCAGTGGGCTCCAGTCAGTCCCTCTTCCCCAGGCTGAGGCAGGATTTTCCAAAGTTGCAGGTGTATGAGCTTTCTGGAGTTCCTAAAAATAATTACCAGGAAGCTTTGCTAATATTGCAAATTCCAGAGTTCATACCAGACCTACTAAAGCAAAATCACCTTAGGAAAGTTCTAGCATTGGCATGTTTAACAAAATCCCTAGGCCCCAATCAACAGACAACTGGGAGAGACATTACCTTGAAAATAAAATCTAAACTCCTTACTGCAGCAGTGGTTCTAAACCCAGGGTTGCCCCAGCCTTGCCCATCACATCACCCCAACCTCTGCTGCTCTCATCACCTCTCCTGCCTTCCCCTTCCAAATTTAAGAACCTTGTGATTAGATTGGGCCTCCCAGGTAACCTAGAATAATCTCCTCATCTCTCAGACAGTTAATTCCCTCTTCCCATGTAACATATTAGCAGGTTCCAGGAATGAAGACACAGACGTCTTTGGGGGACCACTCTGCCTGCTACAGCATCCAAGCCCCTTTTGTCCCCTGGGCCCCCCTCAACTTATCTACTGCCTAAAACTTCTTCTCACCCTTCAAATCTTGGCTCAAAAGTCACCTCCTCTGTGAAGCCTCCCCCGATTCCTTGTAGTAAATCCTTGCTCCTTATATGCATCCTCTGCGGTTTCCCCACGCCTCATTTTAGCAATCATCTTGTTAGACGTGCGATCCACTTGGTTCAATTTCAGTTAATCAGTCACATTCAGAGAAGGGCAGGTGAAATGGGAGGGGAGGGGAAGCGGGTGCAGTATCTGACACCTCCCCCTCGGCAACATCAAGGAAACTCCAGATCATAATCCCCAGCAGAGGCTCCTCATGCAAGGCAGCTCTACACCGAGCCTCCCACCCGCGGCCTCCGCTGGGTGGATCTAGCATCTTTCGAGCCTCCCCCTGCTGTCCCTGGGTCTTTCCCTGTCCATTCTCCGGCACATACCTGGTGCCCCTGCAGAGGCCTCTCCTTGAAAGCTGCCTCCCCTCTTCTCCCCAGGCACGTGGGCACAGCCCTTTGACCCGGAGAGCACCAGGGAAGGGGACTTCCACGTGAACGCGGATCGCGTAGTGACGGTGCCCATGATGTTCCAGTCGAGCGCCATCAAGTACCTGGACGACCCGGAGCTGCCCTGCCAGCTGGTGCAGCTGGACTACACGGGCAACGGGACCGCCTTCCTCATCCTTCCGGATGAGGGAGAGATAGACACGGTCATCACCGCGCTGAGCCGTGACACCATTCAGAGGTGGTCCACGTCCCTGAACAGCAGGTGAGCCTCGCCCTCCTCCGCCCCCCACCCGCCAAGGCTCCTGGCACCCTGTCTGCTGGGGCCGCGAGGGCGTGAGGATCTCTGCCCTGGAGGCCACACTTACTTATCTGTTGTCTACAGACACTGAGATTTTAGGGGAGCGCTCCCTAAAGCAAGGTCCCACCTCCCTGGGAGGTTGATAACCCCTGTTGAAAAACAAAATTCACAAATGTAGAGATGTAATTGACTATTAAATGATTCATGAACTGGACAGCAACCTATCTAGGCGCTCAGGGCTCCCACAAAATGGAGAGTTGTATGGACAGAATGAGGGTGAGATATTGCTATCAGCGAAAGGAAAGATCTCGGGTCAAACCATCTTCCCAGGACTGGGGGGGCCCATAGGGGGCCCGATCGTGCACCTCGCTGGGGCTGACTCGGAACTGCACACAGACCAGCTTATGATGACACTTTTAATTAATTAATTTTGTGTACAAGAACTGGAGTGTAGGCCAGAGGTGCAGGATGGTTGACAGGGGGTCCTCAGAGGCAGGGAGTTTGTGGGGGAGAGGATCACCAGAGACAGAGTGGGGAGCACAGCAGGCAGATGTAGTGAAATACACTGCTGAGGGGCGCAGCGGGCGAGACAGGAGAGGTCTGCTGCACCGGAGGGGGCTGCCGAGCAGACTGATTTGGCTTTGAACTATATGTTAAGCCTGCAACTTCAACCTGCAGGAAGCAGCCCCAAGAGCACAGCTGGAGGGAGGCCTGGCACAAGTCAGACAGGCTGTGCCCAGGGCACCAGCAGAACCAGGGCACCAGCAGCAAGAGAACCAGACCAATTCTCCTTGGCTGAGCTTGGTAATCCAAGAATTTTGTGGGCAGAAAATCCACAAAAAAGCTCCTTTGCCTTATTATCTATGCAGGTTTTACAGTTTATGGGTCGAGTTCTTTGTATTTTGAATTGTACCCTCAGAGACCTACGCCGTGCTGCTGTGTGGGGGGGATTAGCCAGCTGCAGGCACAGCCAGGAAGGGGCAGGCAGGTGGACCTCGCTCCTACGGTCCTATGATTCAGAGAGGTCCCCAGGCTACATGAGGCACTCAGAGGGCATTCCTAGACTCCCTGGACCATCCATGCCTACCCTGAGTGTGCGGGTGCAGGGTGTGGTATGGGTGCCAGGGAGCCTATGTTTACACAACGTAGGGCCCTTTTGCTTGCTCGTCCCCGTGCCGGTGTTGCCCCAGGCTGCCCTGCTGTGTAGACGGGACACCCTCACAGAAAGAGCTGGGACCAAGCTAACATCTCACATGCTGCTTTAGTGGCACAGCGGGGGCTGCTCCCTCCACACCTACCAGGGGCTGCCTGGGGAGCTCCTGGGCTTCTTCAGGGCAGTTTTTCCAACGTCCAATAGTCCAGCTGGGTGTGACAGGGAGAGGTAGAGCCATCTTGCCCTGTCCCTTCTCCTGACCCCAGCAGCAGGCGGGGCTAGAGAGCAGGGGACACGGGAGTCTGCCAGGCCCAGACCCAGAAGGTCTAACCCCCACCTCTTCTCCCGAGCAGTTGGGTAGACCTGTATGTCCCAAAGGTGTCCCTCTCCGGAGCCCATGACCTCAGGGGCATCATGGCTGACATGGGCATTGCTGACCTGCTCAACAACCAGACAGACTTCTCAGGCATCACTCAAGAGGCCCGGCTGGAGGTGTCAAAGGTAAGTGTCTATAGAGTCCATGTCTTTTTTCCTCACCAAAATTCACAATAAAAATAATAATAAGGGGCCTCCCTGGTGGCGCAAGAGGTTAAGCACAGCACTATGAAGCAATCCATAGCTACTGCAGCACGAGTTTGATCCCCAGCCAGCCAGGGAGCTACCCACATGGCGCAGCAGACCTCTCCTGCCTTGCCAGCAGCTACCCTCAGCAGTGTATTTCAGTCAGTCTGCCTGTTCTGCTCCCCACTCTGTCTCTGGTGAATGCTCTCACACACACCCCCACACCTCTGGCCTGTACCCCAGCTCTTATCTGCATAAATAAATAAATCTTAAAAAAAATAATAATCAGGAACAAGGAACAAAGGACGAGGTCCCAGGGCAAGCGGCCCAGGTCTCTCCAAGCCCCCCTCACTCAGGCAGCCCCACCCTCAGGGTCTAAGAGTCCTGTGGAGGACAAAGCAAGAGAGAGAACAAGGGACAGCCTGAGGGCAGCAACCCCCACCCCCAAACACATGGCCTTTGGCCACGTGGTACCTGGTACACAGTAGGTGCCCAATAAAGCGCCAGCTGTGTGAATGTCCACACCCACACAGCCACCCCCCGGCCTGGCAGGGCCTGCCCAGGAGGGTCAACAACGCACGGTACCCACAGAGCCAGCAGGCATCAGACAGACGCAGACCGAGGGTCTGTTTCACGCAAACCTCCTTCCCCAGGGCCCCGGGGGTGCTGGCCGCGCGCCCCAGGACACCGCTCTTGCGGGGGGCCCCAACGGCTTTTCACACGAGCTGCGCGAGCCTTTCGCTGCTCCCAGGGTTCGCTCAGCCCTCAGCTGGAGCACGGCACGGCCTCGCCCTCTCAGAGGCGCCCTCGCCCGCCCTGGCAGGTGCAAGCACCTGGGGAAATTGCACCGATTAGGCGCCCCGAGTGGGGCGGGCCCGGGGCGGGCCAGCAGCGCCGCCTGTGGACGTGGGGCCCGGGGGCCAGGAGCCCCACTCTCCAGCCGGGGCTCCCCCGCGCCCCCTTCCGAGGAGAAATCTGGAAGGAGCCGCGTCCGGAGGGGGCAGACCTTGGCTCCAGGCCACTTGCCTCAGGGCCAGCAAGCGGCCTGCTCGGAGCCTCGGCTCTGCCACCCGCGGGCCCAGGTGCTTGGCCCCGCAGGCGCTCACCTGCCGCCCCCACAGGTGGTCCATGAGGCGGGGCTGCAGCTGGAGGAGAAGGGCGTGAAGGCCGCGGGCGCCCCTCGGGTGCGCCAGGACGAGGGCGCCGAGCCTCGCACCCTCCGCTTCGACCGGCCCTTCGTCGTCATGGTCTTCGACAACTTCACCTGGAGCAGCCTGTTCCTGGGCAAGGTGGTGAACCCCAGCTGAGGGTGCCCGCCCAGAGCCCACTGCGCCCCTGACTTTGGGCACCAGGGCCCCGCCGACCGCCCTGGGCGCGGGAGGGTCCCCCAGGCTGCTCCGGGCTCTCCTGCGGCGCGCGCCCCTGGGCACACCTGGTCACACCTGAGCACGGCGTGCCCGAGGGGAGGGGCGCGCGCGGGAGGCCTGATGACGCGGCTGTTATCCGGTATCCCTGGGATTCCTGGTTCCGCTCGTTCTGCTGTTCTGCTGGGTCACCTGCCATGTGGAGCCTGGGGGAAGGTGTGTGGAAGCAGCACTGTTGTTTTTATAATTTTTTGTAAAGTTTGAAATTATTTCTAAGTGAAAACTAAAACAACGAGAAATCGTGCATGCCAAAACACAACAGAAAGGCATCTTTAAAGTGCTGGGGATGGGGGCTCCGGGGGGGCGCAGCGGTTGAGCGCTGGGTTGAGAAGCTGCCCGCAGCCTCTGCAGTGCCGGTTCGATCCCCGGCCACAGGTGAGGGTCCCGCATGGCTTGCAGACCTCTCCTGCCACCCGCTGCTCCCCTCAGCAGTGTCCTTCGGTCCCTCTGCCTGCTCTGTTCCCCGCTCTGGCTCTGGTGAATTCTCTCACCCTCCCGCGCTTCTGACTGTACCCAGTGCTTGTGTAAATAAATAAATAAATCTTTAAAAAAAAGAATCAATTGTTCATCATCATCTAAAATAAATACATAAATAAAAATAAAATTAGAGCATCTGGGCGAAGGGTTGTAGGCTTCTTGGGGGCCATTCCTGCAGTCTTACTTTTGTTGACCTCAGAAGGCCAGTCAGCTAGCAAAGCCACGGCTGGGGGATTTCCAGAAACCAAAAAGTGGGCAGTAGAGTGAGTTAATGGCCATAGCCAGCTGCACATCTGACTTTCCTCCTTGGGCCCCCGCCCTGTATGACCTCAGAGGACACCCTCAGCTCCACAGGAAGAGGACACCACGGGAGACAGCAAAGCGTTGTGGGTTGTGTAGTTTCTGCGTGAGGTTGTGGTCGCACCGTCCTCTAGCAGGCGACCTGACTGACGGGGGCTTCTGCCTATTAATGCTGACATTATTTGAACTTATTTAAAATATGTTTTATTTGAAATTATTTTAAATAACATTAAATTGTTTGAAATTATTTAAACATTTTTCAAGTAACAATTTAAATAAATATTGACGAGGAACACAGAAGACCAGGGGAAGGACATCCGCAGGCAGCTTGTGGTCAAGGGCAGGGTGTGCGTGCGGGCATGGGTGTGTGCGGGCACCGTGCGTGCAGCAGGATGGCCCCAGTGCCCTCTGTACAATAGTGCCCGTGATTCGCTGCTCACGGACTGACCCAAAGGTCCTGCTTCCCCTCACCCAGGGTCCAGGCCTGTGTCCCTGTGTCCCTGGACTAGAAGTCACGTGGCTGTTGGGGAACTTCGGTTGCCCTCGGGAGGTTGCCTGGAAGCTCCTGAGCCTGCCTTTCTGCCAGGGAACTCCCTCCAAATCCTTCCGTAACTAAGCAACCACGCGCTGCCATCGGCGCTGCCCACACTGGGCACCGGACAGTCCATCTGGCCATCCCTCTGCCTCAGGGGGAGCCGTAAGTAACTCCCCGGCCAGGCTCTGGGTGGAGAGCTTGTCACAGATGTGCCTTCCCTCTGAGGACCCCCTGACTGTGAGGTCACCCCTGTTTATTGTCTCCATTTTAATTTTACTGTCTTAGAGACACGGGGAGGTCAAGGGATTTGCCCAAGTTTGCACAGCTGGTCAGATCCTGTGCTTGACTCCTGCTTGACTCCCAAGTCTCTGTTCTCAGTGATGCCATTGGACTCTATTTCTGGAGAGTTAGTCCTGGGCGAGCCCTCAGCCTTCCTCCCAGCTGGGTGCTCAGCAGGGTGCTTGGCTAGGGTGGTAGGCACCAGGGGCAGGGCAGACCCACCTGGAGCCCACTGTCCTGCTGAGCTGGGGAAAGGCGTGAGCAGAGGGAGCCTGAGGAGTGTGGGCGCCATGGGGTGCCTGCCTTCCTGGCACAGGAGAGAGACAGACGTGGGCACTTGGGGCTGGAGCTGGGCTCCTCAGCGCCTGGTGAAGGAGGAGGTTGAGGCCACGTGACAAGGGCACAGAGAGGGAAAAGGTGCCCTGTCCCCGCAGCGGGACTCCAGAGCCCCAGCCACACATGGAACGTGGGCCCAGCAGCTCTGGGGGACACCAGTAGCCTCGCCCCTGGGACAGCACAGCAGCTGTGGAGTGCTGTGATAGCTAGCGGGGTCCCCCAAACCACTGGAGACCTGACTGGAAGTGGGCAGGGGTGGTGAGCCAGAGAGGGGCCTGGTGACATCACCGCACAAGAACTGGCCTCGAGCTCACGTGACACCTTCCTGGGGAGGCACCTGGCGTGAGCAGGTGGAGGCTGACAGGTGAGATGTGGGCTGTCACCACCCTTGGCCGAAGATGTCCCTGGGGAGGCCGAGGGTGGGCCGCCCAGCCCAGGACCCCACCCTTCCTTCCTTCGCGGGAGCAGCTCACGCCTGGAGCAAGCCGCGCCCCCGATCTGGTCTTGCCAGGACACCACAGGGGCTGAGAAGCAGTGGCTCTCAAGGTGGAATTTCCATCTCTGGGCTGCTCGGGGGTGCGGGAAGCCTTTGCCCCTCCATCTTGGCTTTTCTGGAAGCTCCACACCTCTGAGCAGGACGTTAATGAGTAACAGTCCCAGCGGGGCCGTCATACTTTGGAACAGCAAATATTTGCTGCAGGTTTTCAGCTGCAACCCTGAGCTGTCTTTGCTCTGAATGCGGGACCCTCCCGGCACCAGGGCCACAGGCTGGTAAGAGCAGCGCTTCCAAGGAGACCTTCCAGGTGTCTCACTGGAGGGAGGGGGCGGGGTACTGATGCCCTCTGGCCCTTCCAAGGTGGGGGGCGGGCATCTGGGAGGCCCCTAGCCCTCACACCCAGACTGGATAGGGCAGGGAGGGGGCAAACCCTGGGGGGCCTTCCTCTGGAAGAGGCTCAGCAGGCTTGAGACTGAGCCCACAACATGCCCTGTGCCAGCCGTGCTGGACAAGCTGGCTTTCCCCTGGGGACCCCTGCCCAGGCAGCGGCCTCCCTCTTCCAGGGCTGGGGCGGGGTGGCGGGGAGTGGTTCTCTGGCACTTTCCTGGCTGAGTAGTGGTAGGTGAGCAGTTGATTTCAGGTTCTCTCCAGGCCAACGCCTCCTGCGTGCACTTGGTGGCACCCTAGTGCTTCAGGGGTGTCCCCACTACGATTCTGTCTCTTTCACTAGAAGAAACAAAGACTAACATACCTTGGACTGTCCAGTCAGCCAGGGGCACCTGGGTAGTGCCGGGCTGCCCCTTCAGACTGGGGCACAGCTTCAGGGTAACTTGGCCGTCGGAAGGGCTGACGCGGACTTGTGTGCCAGGACCGGCTCCTGTCGCCAGACTATTCGGGCATGTCCTGCCAGGGGGTGATTTCATTTACTAAGTCATGCTAAATACTGTTTGTGATGGAGGCCCAGACCTGGCACCAGCCTGGTACAGGTGTTACTTACCAGCACGCTCGGTGTTGGGGAAACCTATCAAACAGGCTTGTCACATAAAATGGGACAAGATTCCCTAAAAAGTGACATTTAGGAGACAGAGTTCACTGAGCAAGGTAGCACCCCTCAGACTGTGCCACGAGGGAAGCCTCGAATTCCACATACCCCATTTGGCACAAGCCAGGGCCAATGTCCTGAGTCCTGGGCCGTGTTGCTTTGTTCCAGGCACAGACCAGGCCACAGCCCCTGCATCGGTGGGAGGAACCCTGGGAACTTCACGTGGCCACACGTTGCTTCAGGTGGTCAAAATGAGGTGTCTGCTGATGGGCACTGCAGCTCTCCCCGCCACAAGCACCCATTGCAGGGCCATCCTGCCCCACCCAGAGCAGTGGTTGCATCTCAGGGCCCCCCTCCCTGGGACACAGGCTAGAGGTGCTGAGCACCGGGGACTGAGGATGGAGACAGTGGGGTGGCCCAGCCCATAGGTTTATTCAGACAGAAAATGCACAGGAGCCCAGGAGCAGGCTTGGGGCCACAGGTGTGGGAGCTGGAGAGGGGGCTGGGCGGGGAGGTAGGCGAGAGGAGCCCCTCTGGAAGGCCAGGTCCGCTAGCCTGCGCCCCGGGGCAGAGAGGGTGGGGGCTAGATGAGGTGGTCCAGGCGTGGAGTGTCTACTCCAGGGCAGGCTGGGGAGGGGGTGTGCACGGGTGTGTGTGTGTGAGAGAGAGAGAAAGAGAGAGAGAGGGAGAGATGACAAAATCGGGCAAACTGCGCACCAACCAGACCTCCCAAATCCCCAGCCAAGCAAATCCTCAGACCCAGGCCCCTGCGGAGGTTGTTGGAGCCACATAAGGCCCAGCGCTCAAGGGTAATGAATGAAGCAGATCAGTAAGAGTTAGTGGAGACCCCCCGGCTTGAGTCCCCCAATTTGGCTCCCTGCTCTTCTGGGAAAAGCCAGGAGCAAGCAGGAGCTGCCGGCGGATCTGGCCAGGGGTGGGAGCCTGAGGTTTTGTCTGTGGAATGAGGGTCCCCAGGACCCACACTTGCTGAGGGCTCCCGGAGGCAGTGCTCAGCTGCAGGAAGCCAGGGATAAGATCTGGACCCCGGCATGGGAAGGAAGTGGGGTCCCCAAAGGAACTGTCCCTTGACGTTGTACACAGGGGACGAACCGTACCGGGCATTAAGAACAATCTCTGCTGCTTTTCTCCCGAGGACATCTTGCTGCTGAGGGTCAGTGCGCCCGTGGCCTCCCCGCTGACCCCATGAAGGTGGTGCTGAGCCTCCTGCTCCCCTGTCTCCTGGCAGGGTTGTGGCGGGTGCTCGGCTCGGCTGTGGGCCCCCAGCCCCCAGAGGCCCAGGCAGGGCTGGAGGCGCTGCAGACCCACGCCGCTCAGAACCGGACCGGTGAGGGCGTGCGGGCTTCCTGGAACCAGACCGGCCGTGGCGCGCAGGCGTCCTGGAACCAGACGAGCCAAGGGGTACCAGCTTCCTGGAACCAGACCGGCCAGGGGGCACAGGCGTCCCGGGACGAGGAAGAGGAGTCCTGGCTGGCGGCCAGCAGGGAGCTCTCTGCCAGCACCGCTGATTTGGGGTTCAACCTGCTGCGCCAGATCTCCATGAGGCATGACAACAACGTGGTCTTCTCCCCGCTGGGCCTGGCCTTGGCCTTGGCGACCTTGACACTGGGGGCCGAAGGACAGACCAGAACCCAGCTGGAGAGCGGGCTGGGCCTGGAGGCCCTCCACCAGCACGGGGGGAGCCTGCCTGCCCTCTTCAAGAGGCTCAGAGACACCCTCTCCCACAACCGGGAGCTGGGCCTCGCCCAGGGGAGCTTTGCCTTCATCCACAAGGATTTTGATGTCAAAGAGACCTTCCTCAATGTCTCCAAGAGGTATTTCGATACACAGTGTGTGCCCATGAATTTTCGCAATGCCTCCCTGGCCAAAGGGCTCATGAATCGCTACATTAACAAAGAGACGCAGGGGAAGATCCCCAAGCTCTTTGATGAGATTAACCCTGACACCAGATTAATGCTCGTGGATTACATCTTGTTCCAAGGTATTTGGACACGACGCTCCGCCCTCCCAAAGGCGTGGGTCGACCTCGTCTCCCCATCCCTGGGTTTGGCAGGCACGTGACTCACGCCAAGCGGTTTCCTACGTGCTCCCGGGCCCAGGCTGAAAAAGGCGGTGGGCCCGGGCCGCGGCGGGGCATCTCCCCCGCTGCCCCGCCAGAGGCCCCAGCACAGTTCTCCCCTGAGGTCCTGACTCAGCAGTTCTGAGAGATTTGGGGGTTCATCCTTACTACTTCACTCTCTACTTTTGTGACCTGGGGCCAAGTGACCAGTCTCTTGTCCTCGGATTCTTAATGTAGAAAATGGGGGTGGTGGTGGGGAGGTGGCGCGACTCTCACGTCCTACACGCGAGCGTGAGCTCAGCCCAGGGCTTGACCAAGGCCACGTAATAGACGCAGAGGCCGAGCTCACACGGGGGCTCCCGAACTCGCCCACGTTCTTTCCATCTGGAAAGATGAGCTTGGTGTGGCCGCCCTGTGGCAGGCGGCGGACACTGGGCACTGGGCCCACGGTCTGGGAGGAGGAAGAGCGTCCTGGCAGCCCGGCCGCACACTCAGGAAGGCGGCCTGCCTGGGGGCCTCCGCCGGGCTGTGTGGCTGACTGTCAGCGAAGGGCCCCGGCCTCTGTTCAACCCTCAGCAGCGGGCGGGGGAAGGTCACCATGTTTCCCCTTGGCTCTGCTGGCACCTGGGCGTGTGCCCGGCAAAGTGGCAGGCACAGGGCCCCAGGCAGATGGGGCAGGAAGGCCCGGCCCCCAGGCTGGACCAACACCAGGGCCGGTTGGAGGGCTGTGGGCGCTCAGAGCAGAGCCGGGTGCAGGGGCTGCTGCAGGCGTCTGAGCGGTGAGCACTGTCAGGAGACGGGCCGTGCTCGGATGTGCGGTTCCCACGGGGCCTACGGCAGGCCGCTGCTCCACCGGCTGGGCACAAGGACCAGGACAGGTGGATTTCGGGGGTGCCGGCCTCGGCGGTGGTCAAAAGCCCCTGCAGAGGGAATGCCTGTGGCCTCCATCAGCACCGCGCCTTTGCGGAGGGCGGCCTCTGCAGGGACTTCTTTCCTTACCTCTTCAGGGAAGTGGCTGACCCCTTTTGACCCCACCTTCACTGAAGAGGACACTTTCTACCTGGACAAGTACGAGGGTGTTAAGGTGCCCATGATGTACAGGGCAGGCAAGTTTGCCTCCACTTTCGATGACAATTTCCGTTGCCACGTGCTCAAGCTGCCCTACCGAGGCCACGCCACCATGCTGGTGGTCCTCACAGAGAGGACGGGCGACCACCTGGCCCTGGAAGATTACCTGAGCTCAGACCTGCTGGACACGTGGCTCAGCAACATGGACACCAGGTATGTCCTCCCCTGCCCTGCGTGCTCGCAGCGCCCTTCCCTGGAGAGCTGGGTGAGGCCAGGCGCCCCGGTCCTGCTCTCCCTCCATCCCCATCCACCTCATTCACACTCGGCAGCGCTCCCCGCTCCCCGCAGCTCCCCCACGCCGGGCCCAGGGGCCCAGGCACAAGGCCAGCCCTCACGTGCTCACGTTCTGGCACGTGTGTGGGGAAGGGCGAGGGCGTGCCGGCAAGGCAGGATGCCAGGGAAGGCCTCGAGCAGAGGGCCACAGTAAGCAGACAGGGAACATGGTGACCTGGGGGGTGTCTCAGGGGTGAAGTGGTACAAGCAAAAGAGTGAGCGCTGGGGAGAAGTGTGAGCCCGAGAGAAGCGTGGCCAGTGGAGGAGTCTGCAAGGAGAGAATATGGTCCGATCTGTGCTTGAAAGGGTGACAAGCTGAGAGTAGACCTGAGGGTGGTGAGGGAGGAAGCAGGAGCTGGTCAAGAGGTCACTGTAAGGATCCAGATGGGCAGCAGGGGTGGCAGAAGGATGACGACGGGGCTTGGTCTGCAGGAAGCTCGAGGGGACAGGCTTGCTCGCGGACCACGTGGGAGCGAGGCAAAGAGGAGTGGCAGCGATGGCTGCCAAGTTTTTGGCCTTGGCAACCTGCGGGAAGCACGTGCCTTTTACTGACATGGGAGGAAGAAGTCGGGCACCTTTAGGCGGCCAGCCCGAAGGGGCGCACCAGAACTCTCCCTCAGACATGCGGGGAGACGTCCAGAAGGCAGGCAGATCTGGCGTCCAGGGCAAGGGCCAGGCTGGAGGTGCGAACTGGGGAGCCCCCCGCCTGTAAGTGGAATTAAAGACCCAGGACCCTGGACGAGATGACGCCGGGGCGGGGGTGGCGCAGAGAGGAGGCACAGAGCAGGCGCGCAGTTGTTTGTCTAATTAATCCACCGACTGGGGTCGCAGCAGCGTAAGAACCCAGGGCCTCGCCTTCCACATCCTGACCCTCCAGAGCTGGCGCGGATGAGTCCGCCAAGGCCTCCAGTGTTGCTTTCTCTTCACTGGTCTTTCTCTTTGAGTCCTTGTGTTAGCCAAGGGCCTCAAACACAGCCACCCCTCAGAAAGCGTCTGAGTAGGTTTGTTCATCGATCTTCGAGACGTGCCATGTCCTCAGCTCTACTCCAGTCTGACAGCCTGGCCCACAGAAAGGGGCGTCACGGGGGAGGGAGAAGGGGTGGATGAGAATGCGGGGGGTAGAGGGAGCCACAAAGGGAGTCACCTGTATTAAGTCCCCAGTGCACCCCAGATGCTGTTCTGGACACTTAATGAACACGTACGGAACAATCCCGTGAAGCTGGTACCGGTATTTCTGGTTGCACTTCACACGTTAAGAAATTGGGACTTCCTCAAGACTAATTTAGCACCAATTAGTAGTTTTCATCTACCTTATTGTTGAATCCAGCAACTCACCTTCACAAACACGTCTTTCTAGAGAATTCCAATATATAAAGCAGGTAACATCTCTGCCTACAGACGGGTAGGAGGTAACTCGTCTCCAGGCACCCTGGAAGAGTCTGGGGGACGGAAGCTGCCATGAGCCGGGGCCCTGCAGGATTGCTGGGAGCCACCACTTGCAGGTGGTGAGCTGGGTTGTTTTTAAACCAGAGGGGAATAGACACGAAGTTTGACATTTGCTGCTACCCAGAAAAATGTGCCATCAACAAGGGCGATCCCTTGGGGGGAACAAAGGAAAATAGGAAATGGGCTTTTCGGTGTCGAGTCTCTGCTTTTGTCTGCGTTTCCCCATGATGTGTGCTTGCACCGCAGGAGAATAGAAGTCTTCTTGCCAAAGTTCAAGTTAGATCAGAAGTATGAGATGCACGAACTGCTTAAGCAGATGGGGATCAGAAAAATCTTCTCGCCCTGGGCTGAGCTGAGCGAGCTCTCGCCTACTGCCGGGGACCTCAAAGTATCCACGGTAAGAGAGGCGGCGTGCGGGCGTGCGGGCGAGGGGCCGTCGGACACGCGGGGCCTGCCGGGGTCAAGTGGAAACTGAGCTGAAATTCCCAAAGACTTCAAACAGCCCCCGTGTGGGGTGTTTTAAAGATTTTGAGTTACGTTACTAAAACATTTGTTCGACAACTTAATTTCTTTCCCGTAGAGTCCCTCCCTCCTCCACGGCTCAAGGAACCATTTTCCACTGAAGCAGGTTTGGGTCACAGCTTCATTTAAAACTCCACCACTTTTGAGATGAAAGAAACCCCCACAGGTCATCGGGCCCAACTTCCCTGCAGAACAGCCCTCTAGACTTTTTTTTTAAATTTTTTTAATGCTTCCAGTGACCGGGAACTCACTACCTCCTAGAAAGCAGCCTCATCCACAAATGGTTGAATTGTTGCCCTTAAGGACACACCCAGGTCCGTCCCTCCTACCCAAACCCTACCCTCTGGCCTTCGTGCTGCCTCTCAGAGCCACCTGAGTCGCCTCCTAGCAGGCGTCCCCTCGGCCGCTCCATGTTCTCAGTGGAGGTATTCTCGGTTCCTGGAGGAGCCTTTGCCGTCCCACCCAGTCACAAAGGCCAGGAGCGGCCCCCTTACACCCACGAAAACGGCCGCTGACACTCACGCCAGTCTTGCTTAGCTGCGCGTCTGGCCAATATTGTCCTGTCTGGTTGCATTTTTCTTTAATTTTTTTATTATGGTTGCATTTTTCAATTCTAAGAAAGTGGCATCCACCGAGGAGGGGCCCGGCGGGGCGATCTGGGCCTGCTCTCAGACCTTGTCATCCCAGACAAGACACTTAACAGCCCCGCTGTCTCTCAGACCTGAGAGAAGTTTGGCTGAAAACACGTGAAACGTCGAGGCAACGCGCTGCCTTCCCACAAGCTGTGACCCTCCGTGTGCTGCTCCTCCCTTCACTCCAGGCAACCTGAGTCCCAGGTGCTGCTGGCCGTGTCCACAGCTCCTCTCACAACAACCAGGCCTACTGGGGGGGAGGGGGTTGGCATGTCACATGAGGTTCTTGACAAAGAGCCTCCTAGACACAACAGGTAGCCTGAGCACAGGCGGCCGGAGTGGGGACGGCCCCAGGGACTCCCTCAGAGCAGGACCAGGTGCCAGAAGCTGCAGGGGACAACCGCACCCCTGGCCCCTCCTGGCAGCAGGATGGTCAGCCTCAGGGCTCCAGGGCAGCTTGAAAAGCTTCTTCGAGGAGAACCAGCTCAGCTCGAGAACCGGGGCCACACGCACGCGCGGGAGTGTCTGCGGCTCCACCACGTGGCACCGACGGGCCAGGCGCAGTCCTGGGTCTGAGTCCAGAATGTGCTTGACGCGCTGGGCGGTGCCCAGAGCAACCTCAGACCACTCCTCTCAGCAGGCGAGCCCTGCGCCTCGGCCCAGGGAGCAGGCGCTTCACAGAGACCGTGGCTATCCACGCTGTCTTCTTTTCCAGATTCTACAACGAGCTGTGATTGAGGTGGATGAAAGAGGGACGGAGGCAGCTGTGGGGACCCTGTCAGAAATGATTGCTTACTCCATGCCTCCCGTCATCAAGGTGGACCGGCCCTTCCATTTCATGATCTATGATGAAACGTCCAGAATGCTTCTGTTTCTGGGCAGAGTGGTGAACCCCGCTCTGCTGTGACTCCCGGTGTGACCCTTGGTGCTGAGCCGGGGCGCCAGCCCAGGCAGAGGTGGAAGAAGGCGTCCCCCGTGCCCTCAGCTAGCAACGCAAGCATTAAATGCAAACTTTTTTAGGGAGATGCTTGCATCATCCGTTTGGTGTGTTAAACCTGTTTCGAGGAGTGTGTGTTATTTGGCTGAAGACCAGCGTGGCAGATCTGTTACTCACACATCTGGACTTAAAAAACTGGCGATCAGGACACTTTTTGAAATAAAACCCCTGGGAGGAAGACCCGTGCGTTCCCCATGAGGCCTGCGCTTCACTCTCTTCCCTTCCCTCTGGTGAAAATGAGCACTTTACCTTCTTATCAAGGCTCATTTCTTGCTGGCTTAAATTAGAAAAAAATAGCCATAGTCAGCCCTGCTCGCCGTCCCCGCCCTGGCGCTGCCCGTCCGCTGCGCGGCCTGACAGATCACCCACTGAGCGCAGCTTCAGTTAACACCTTCATTTTACAAGGACAGAAGTGGGGAACCGGACAGGGCCACATAGCGCCTTTGTGGGCGCCAGGCTTCATTATATGCCAACATCTCCAGTTATTTTTTACAACTGTATCGGTGTAAAGAACGGTAAGTTCTGGGTGATGTTTGTCTTTGCGCCAGTGCAGTCACAGGCCACCACCTGTTGCTGTAGGGAGGAAGACACCTTCACGGCCCTGAAAGTACTGTGGACCCCAGCGCTGTGCAAATCCCCCCGCACCTGAGAGAGAGGGAAGCCTCGCCTGGGGTCACCCAGCCGACTCGCCTGACTCCGGTCCCCAGGTCCACTTCTTTCTGTCTAAAACAACTGACAACTGACCGGGTCCAGCTAAACAAGCAGCGTGAACTCAACTCTCAGTTTCCCTCTTTGGTTTAACAAAATGCAGGCACGGGCTTTGTCCTAAGGTGAACGGGAAATTAACCAGTACCCCTGAAACACTGTGAGGCGTCACTGTCTGTCACGATGACAGGAAAACACTTGAGCAAGAAATTCAGAGCCTCGTGCACAGAGCTAACTGGGGTTGGCGTGTCACCTGTGGTGAACAAATGCCTCACTGGATTTCCATCTGTTTGTGTCCGTTTAAATATACTTAAAAGTAATTTATTGATTAGTCACCCTGATTACTAATATAAACCAGAGTAATGTGAACAGGCCGCAGCCATCTGAAGAATAATTTTTCAGCATTCTACTATCAGGGCAGGAATCCATGCCAGTATGCCCTCCAATAGCACTAGTTGGCACTAGTAAGGGCAGGAATTTCCAGGACATAGAAAGGAAAAAAAAATAAAGGGCTAACTCTATTATTCTTAAGTGACCCGTTAGTATTCAATGAGTTAGATTTGTTTGTGGAAAAATAGTAGAAAGACAAATAAAAGAGGGTTCAATCAAATCGCCCACCTTTAAAAAATGAAACTTAGAAAAGAAAGTCTGTGGGAACAACGCCCGCTTAAGGAAACAAGTCAAACCCAGAGGTGAAAAGGCTGAAGGCCTCCCGTCGGCCGCCACAGGCACTATGAAGCACAACGACACCCTGATCTCGAACACATCACTCTCTAAGCCAAAAAAAATGGCCCTATTCACTATTTAAAATGTTTAAAAATATTCCCCCACATATGCTTAAAGAAGCTCCCAAAACACCAGGTTTCAGATTTCCCAGGTATATGTGCATGGTTAAAAAATGCACCTCGATGAAAAATGTCATCTATCTTACCAAGTTTTAACGGGGGGGCAGGTGGGGGTGTGGAGAATTTGATGTCATAAGAAGGCTTCACAGTATTTAAGCATCAGGTTTTATAAACTGCCCCTAAGCAGACACACAGTCACACACTCATACACAGTCACACCCACATGCTACAACTGAGAGCTGAGACTAGATTATTGACTTAATCGAACTCATTTTATCTTCACCGTAAAACTCCTGCTCAAGCTGAAGGGCCTTTCCATTTCGATGCAAACATTCCCTCTACGCCCGCAGACTCAAGGCGAGACGGACCCCTTCCAGAGGAAGGCGCTGAGCTCAGGAAGTCACGTGCTGTGCGGGAGGTTATGGGACGAAAAGTCCGACATGTTCCTTATCTCGCCTCTATTCAGCGGCACCCTTCTCAGCCCTGTCTCCACCTGTCAGGAAACCTGAGCTCGAAGTCTGGTTGTTTTCGCTTACAATACTGACTAGCAAAACTCTAGAACCGATCCTTAAAGAGGGAAGTTTCCACAGCTGACAGACCGATGAAGATGAAGGAAATGCCCCTCTTCCCCCGCAAGGACACACAAGGGAACGCTTTCTCTGTCATGCGTCTAGCCTAGAGCACCTGTTGGATAAATTATTCAAGTGCAAACTCTACAAGAGTATGGGTCTTGTTTCCAGTATAAATGGAGCGAGGGAGGGGTGGGTAGTCACAGGTGTCACCAATTTTTGATACTGTTTTCATGTATCTGTCCTTGAGAGTTAATTTTAATAAATATTACAATTTTAGAAAATTTTCAAGTGCTGTCGGGAATAAAGGCAACTTCCAAAAATCACTCTGATGGGCCAGCTTGGATGATCAGTTTAGCGCCAAGGGCAAGGCTGCAGGTGACTTCTGACCGCCTGAGCTCAGGAGTGGGCTCATTTCTCTGCCAGATTGCTTTCCTCTTCTCTACCTGCAGGACGGAAAATAAAAGCTCCTAACTCTGCTACTTTTCTCATGGGACAAATAAGGGGAAATTCTCCCATTTATCTGCAGCCACAGTCAATGCGGGCCGGGAGTCAAAGTGCCGTGGAGAGGCAAGCAGGTCCCCTCGGCGGGGGCTCCTGATCAGCACAGCTCAGCCTCTGCTGGTGAGGCCCTGGGGGCACACGTCGGAACCGGCACACAAGGCCCAGGAGCGTGCACTGAATTCTCCTGCCGACTTACAACTTTTGTTTAAACTACTGACAAAATAAGTAATTCCGTTTACCTGCCTTTAAATGAAAGATATTGAGAGAATCACTAAAAATAGCCAAAGAGGCCATATGAAAAGAAAAAGGCAAATAGACGGCAAATAGACGCCTGGGGGGTAACACAGTTGATGTCAGGATGCTTCCCTTCCTTGTTACTTAAAAATGAACTGTCGTACTCTTAATTATAGAATAAAAACTGCAGGAAAGTATTTAAAACTGTTCTCACAAACACAGGTGTCTCATTAACCTATGTTTTATTTTGAGTAAATTCATTATTCATCATTTCACATTATAAAAAGTAACCACACACGCATATGCATCCACAAATTAGATCATCTTTATCATACATCAATATACTTTAAAAAAACCAAATATTTTCTAATATCAATATAGTTAATATGCTGATTGCATTTTGAAATAGAGAAGCTGACAATAGCTTCATACGGTATATCTCAAGAACTGACATTGTCAAATTAAGAGCTGTATATGTTCCACAGGCAAATTTGGATGAAAATACTGCATTAGTACCAATAAATGCTGTTGATAGCTTAAGCATGATAGCTTGAAATAACAGCTGATTCAAACTAGATTCATCATTTCAAATCAAGTAAGGACGAATACAATCTAAAATGTAAACAAAGTATTTATAAATTCTAGGAAATAAAGGAAATCATCAATCTATTATTTTTAAGGTAGTTGCAGCGAAACGTTCTCAGAAGTCTTTGTAGAATTTTCATTGCCAAATTTAAGCTTTGGAGTGTCCAGGTACAACATACTGTCACCACAATCACAGGACCAAGACTGCATATAACTACTTGGACCGTCTTCAGTGTGACTTCTCGACTGGGCTTGGAGACACGTGAGAAAATGCGATGCCTTTCTTACCCCAAGCCCCAGTCCAAGCGATTAGCTAGTAGAGCAATTCAGCTGATTTGGACTTTCATGTAATTGTTAAAGGCTAAAACTCTAGAACAATTAAATAGATGGTTTCCTGCACAAATAAATGCAGACTTATTGGAAATTCCTGCTTTAAATAAATGCAGACTTGTGTCTTTTGCAGCAGTAGTTAAAGCACATACCTAAAGTTGTTTTTCATTACATTTCACTATGACATTGGAATTCTGTAACCACATTATTTTTCAAGAAATATATATTATACCTCCTAGGGAATCTAATTTCAAATATGTGAAGTTTAACACCAGCTGCCATTATGACTCTCTTTTCCATTTGTGAAAAGAAAAACAAAGCCGCAGCCAAGCCTTAGAGCTTGTCATCAATCCCATTATCTCCAGTGGTCTTTGTTTTGCCTCCTTTACCAAGCAGACGATTTAAGGATTGGATTTTCTGGATTTTCTTTGTGAAAAACGAAGAGAGAAAGAGAAAGAGAGGGATGGGGGCAGGGTAGAGGACAGAAGGAGGGAGAAAGTAAGAAAAACAAAACATGAAAAATTTAATCCATATAATGCTTACAAAGTAAATAAATACAGGAATAATCTACTTGGAATAAACGTAGTATTTGAATATTCTAATTAAGTGAAAAATGTTTTACACATTAAAGATTACTTGGAGCTCACTTGAATTACCAAATCTTACGTGCATCTAACATAGCATTTGGTTCAATGGTACAATTTTCCCTATTTTTTTAATAACTATAGTGGAAGCTAACACAGGCGTAAATACACCAATTGTCTGGCCTCGGAAGACATAAGAGACAACATGTTTGTTTAAGCAACGATAATCCGGAAATCCCTGGTGGCCGAGGGGTTAAGTCTCAGCACTTCCACCTCAAAGGCCCACCATGGCCCAGCAGACCTCTCCTGTCTCCCTGCTGCTCCCCTCAGCAGTGTATTTCAGTCTGTCTGCCTGTTCTGCTCCCCACTCTGTCACTGGTGAATCTTCTCACCCTGTCCCTGCACCGCTGGCCTGCACCCCAGTTTTCTCTACAAAAATAAATAAAATCTTTTAAAGAAAAAAGAAAAATAAAGAAAGCAATGAAATTCCTGAATACCAGACCTGTCATCTCCATGACACTGACAAGCTGGAAAATGGAATTTTTTGAGAAGCCAAAACTGAGATAATTAATACTTGCCGAAATCATTTCATGGGCTTATTTTATAAGTAAAGGACATGAGTCGGATCTGGTGTGGCCCTGAGCTGTAGACAGCGCGTCACAGACACAAGACAATGCAGACATGGGCCAGCCCACCCAGGCTGAATAGTAGCTATGGTGCAGGATCCTCCTCCTCCTCCAGATTAGTCAGGGGAGGACACAAACGCCACATGAATTTGTCAGTACATGGGCTATTTCTAGAGTCACCTTTTAAAAACAACAATTATATATAATTGATAATATAATTATATATGTGTAGATGCACACAAACACATAGACACACACATACAGTTGCTGAAGGGATGCAATTCTAGCCAGTGTCTTCTCAGAGCTGGAGACCCTGAATTGCAAACATTGCACAGCAAAAGAACAGGTCTCAGATATCAGTGAAGGCTGTTAAAGCTTCTAACTGACTCCCTACGATCACAGTGTCTGTGCCATATATAGACGGGCCTGTATGAAGCGTCTCACGGAGAGATGTGGGGGAGGGATCCCTGTTAACTTATCGCATCTCCCCGTGACATTTTCCATTCTTGGCAAGTATTTAAGTGGGAAGGAATGTGTGGGGTAACACTTAGCATCCACTGCTGAGTACTTACAAGGCAGCCTTCCGAGGCTGTGTGTCTTTACTTCCGCTGCCCTTTGGATCTACAGAGCTCCCTGAGCCTCCGGAGGTGCTTGGGAGGGAAGCGTTAGAAGAAAAGGAAGAAGGCGCATTGCTGGCATTACGAGCCCGGAAGGAATCATCTGGAAGTAAACCGGGTGTAGTCAGACATACTGAATATACGGAGAAAGATGTTAACATAAGAGAAGAAGGATTAATCACAGCTCACTTTTCTCCTTGCAAAATCAATTTTGTTGGTGTAACTTGCATACAATAAACTGCATAAATTTGAGACTTTGACATCTCTCCTGTCAAAATCACAGGCAGCCATCACCACAAGCAAGTGAACTTCAGTCCTTTTGTAGTTCCTCCTTCAGCTACGCACTCCCCCCTCCCCCACCCCACATGCCAGACCACCTCTGCTCTGCCTAATGTCACTGTAGATTAGCTGGCACTTTCTAGAATTCTAGATAAATGGAAGCACACAGTAAGCACTCTTGTCTGGCTTCTCTTACTCAGCAGGGTCATGCCAGGATTCATGCCTGCCGCTGTGCGGGCCACACTTCAGCCTCTTTCCTGCTGGCAGGCATCCCACGGTGTGGACAGCCAAACAGGCCTGTCCACCCCCTGTTGACAGACATTTGGGTTTTTTCCAGTTTTGACTATTATGAAATAATCATGTACAATTCTGTGTGTAGACATACGTTTTAACTTCTCTCCAGTAAAAGCATAAGAGTGGACCTGCCGGACCATATTTCACTTCATAAGGAGCTGCCACATTGGCCAAAGTGCTTATGCCACTTTGCATTTCCACCAGCACATCTGAGAGTCTAGAGGGCGCTCCCTGTGGTGAGCTTTCTCAGGCTTAGACATCCTAGTGGACGTGAAGTGCATTTCCATGCATTTCCAATGCATTTCCATCTGCATTTCCCTAATGTAAGTTTCATGTACTTATGTGTATAGCTTCTGTGAAGTAGATGTTCAAACAGGTTTCTCACTTTTAAATGAGCTGCCTATTAGTTTTAAGGCTTTCTATAAGTTTAAAGATTTTAAAGATTTCTCAAAGTTCTACAGATGATGGATACAAGGCCTGTGTAATGTGAACATTCTCCTAATTAGGACCCTGCCTTTTCATTTTTTAATGCTCTAATTCAAAATGCAGAAGTTTTAAATTTTGATAAAGTCCAATACGTTAATATCATTTATAGTTTGGAGAAATCTCAGCCTATTCTAAAATCATAAATAATTCCCTCTAAATTTTCTTCTGAGATTTCAGAGGTTTTGCTTTTATGCTTAAGTTTACAGTATATTTTTAGTTAATCTTATGTCTAGTATGAGATGAGAATTCAGGTGCAGTTATTTTAATATAGATAACCGATTGTTCCAGCACAATTTTTGAAAATACTCTCCCATCACACTGATTTATCTTGGAGCTTTTGTTGGAAATCAGCTCACTGTATATGTCCATGTGGGCCTTGCGGTCGTGATTACAGGCTCTTTGGAGTGAGTGTTGAAATCAGGTAGTTTGTGTTCTCTAAATCTGCCTTTCTTTTGCAAGATGATTTTGGCTATGCTCTGTTCTGCGCATTTCAATATAGATTTTAGACTCCACTTATAAATTTCTATAAAAAGACTGTTAGAACTTTGATTAGGATTGCATTGAATCACCCAAGAAATTTTCAAAGAAGTGGCATCAGCTGGCTTCTGAAAGCAGCGTGAATGTGCAAGCTGAATAGCATCATTAGTGGCTCTGTCTTCCTCAGAACAAATTTTCGGTCCTGACATAAGCTAGATTGAAATTGCTTTTCAAAACTTCCATAACCTAGAATCGTAGGAGGATGGTGAAACAAGGTGGAGACTCTTAATCAGTGTGGAAAATAAAGGCCAACGTGGATTAACTGAAGGGTCTAAATGAGCATGTGACGTGACCTCTCAGGTGAATTAAAGTGGAGCAAGAGAAAGAGATTTCATTATTTCCCTAACAGAATAAAAAGAAAAAGGACTGGCATCGTAACAACAGTGTTTACCAGTCTATAACATGGTAGATTGCTCCACTTGTGTGGGTCTTCCTTAATGGCTTCAACAATCGTTTAAAGTTTTTAGTGTACTTCTAACATATTTGTCAGATTTATCCCTAATAAGCACTTACTCTTTTTTTTATTCTAGACTTTATGTTTTAAAATAGTCTTAGCTATACAGAAAATCTGAGCAGATAATACAAAGATTTTCTACCGTCTTCCTCTCTCCGTCCCATTCCCCCATTAAGCCCTCACACTAGCACTTGCTGCAGTTAATGAACCAGCACCGGCACATTATCATAAGTAAAAGCCACGGCCCTGGCACGTTTCCTTGGCCTTCCCCTGTCTGGATCCCTCATAACACACCACATGCATTCACTTGTCAGGAGCCCAGGCTTCTGGGTTCCAAAAGTCCCTTAGGCTCCCCTGTTTGTCATGACCTCAGCACTCTGAGGGGACTGGTCAGATATCTTGAGGATGCTCTTCCGCTGGGATTTGCCTGAAACATTTCTCACGAACAGACTAGAGTTTCAGCTATCACATCTAGGGTACCTACTATAACATAGTGTGTTTTGTGCATTTTAATGTGTCCTAACATGTCACTGAAAGCGGGATTTGAGCGAAAGAGTATTTTAAAAAGCGAGGATTCTTGATGGGCGTCACAAAATTACTTTCTAGAATCATCCCATTGGTTTTTATTCCCACTAACAATGGAGACATTGCGATGTTTCCCTGAGTCCTTCCTGGCATCCTCTTCGTAGTCACCCTGTCTGCTGTTGACCACACAGCCTGGACTGAATGCCATAGCTGACGGCAGGCACATGTTGGCAGATGTTAACGACAGGTTCATATTAAGTAAAAGGTATTCAATCTGACCATCCTACCCATGAATTTGACCTTCCCGTTTTACTTAACATGACTCCCTTACACCACTCCACGCTGCAGGGCCCCAGCCAAATTGAACTGCTGATACCCCTTGAAGACACCACCTCTCAGCTTTTGTTTAGGACAGGTCCTCTGCATGGGGCGTTATTCCACACGCATCTGCGGTTGTCAACATCCTAGCTCACCTCCAGGTTCATCGCAAACGTAAGTTATCTTAAAGCCCATCTTCTGCCCCACAGATGAAGGAAATCTCTTCTCTATGTGAACACCTAATACATTTGTTAAAAGACTATTTGCTTCCATTTATCATAAATCAGGCAAGTATATATTCACTCTTTCCCTGGGCTGTTATTATGTAAGAAATAGTAATAATCAGCACGGTTTTCTAGCCCAGAATCTTGGAGCTAATCCATTCAACCATATTCCTTCTCCCCCAAAACAAGACTGAACACTGAAGATGGACTACTTTTCAAGTAAAGGTAACAGTTCTAAATAAACAAGTTAATTTTATAAAGTACACACTTTTATCTTAGACTGGATGTCTCTATGGTTTGTAGGCCATATACGTGCCTTTGTTCTCAAGGTCATTTAAGAATTAGCAAAGTCAAAACACAGAAATTAATGCACATAATTAAAGCTTTTAAAAACCAGTTCTGAATTTAGTGATATTATTAATGATTTAGACAAAGAGATTTCTTAGCAAGAATTCTTACAAGTTTATGAATAAATATCTGCTTTTGTGGAAGTCATCTCTAACAGGCCAGAGAGGACTCATCCACGTTTGAAGAAGCCCTCGCTGACGTTTACAATCACTGCACATTCACTGCAAGGTGAGCTGTTCAAACTGACTTCTATGGACATAGCTGCAATTTTTTAAACATTTTAAAGATGAGGTACATTTAAAGCCATAGATTAACTTTTCTCTTTTTTTTTTTGGGGGGGGGTTTTCTTAGGGAACTTCAAGAAACGCTAGTCTCCCTAGTTCAACAACTAACACCAAATCCTTTCAGATCCTTAGGGTCCTCAGAGTCGGCTGTGCACACCACGCTCTCTACAGTGTGTGAATGTCAGAGTTTAAATATTACAAAGATTGTCTGTCCTGGCAAATAAAAGCATACTGTGTACAGAACAGTCAAGGAGTGCATATATGTTCTTGATGAGAATTAAAAGAACACAATAAGGAATACGGGGAAGACAAAATACTCAAAATTTAACCTCAAAAGGAAATGCAACTCAGTTTTTAAAAAAATTCAGAACTTCAAGTAAATTTGCCATTATTTATACTAAAAAATCATTGTAGGTTAATATTGCAATGTTCTACCAATATTTTCCAGGCAAAAAGTTAAAAATATACTTATAGCCACTAGCAATTTTTAGCAGTATTTCCCCCATATTCATAGTATAACCCTATGTTCTATGATATAAGTAAGAGGTCAGCAAACAACAGCCTCTGGGCCAAATCTTGCCCACTATCTGTTTTTGTACATAAAGTTTCAGTGGAACACAGCCAAACACTTTTACTCAATGGCAAACTTGAGTAATTGTGACAGAAACTAATTTGGTCAACAAGGTCTAAAATAACAGACCCTTTGCAGAAAAAGTTTGCTGACCCTTGGTATAAACTCTCGTGTATATATATATATATCTCACAGATGTTTGGCTATAAATGAGCCACAGTGAAGTCCTACTGCTTTCAGCTGCTTAAACACTTTTAGTCTATGCCTAGGCTGGTCCTCAGACTGCGGTAAAAACTATCCAATTGTTTTGTCCTTTTTCTTGTAAATTATTGAATTCTGGGTCTTGACTAAGTGAAAACAAAATATTCTAGTCAACTATTTTCTCAATACTAGAGAAAAGCTCAACTTCTTGGGCATTTGACCACAGTATACATTTAGGAAAAATACTGTATCTAAAAGTAAACAGGTCATTTAGTAAAATCATTTTAGTAATTTTAGCAATTTTTTGAAGAGCTCAGATTTCTACTCACCAGTTAGAGAAATCATAGAAGTCTTTGCTAACCCTGAGACAGAAGGAGTATATGCCGCAGCAGAGCTTTTACTAGAAAAGAACATGATTTAGTTTAAAATAAAACATTCTTATTTCAATCCGAGTCAGTGAGCATTTGGACTTTGTTAATTTTTTTTAATGCTTTCCTCTAATTCTTGTGAAACATGCTTGATACTGTTATTTCTCTTTTTTTGTTTTACATTTTATACCTCACAACAATTATGTGGCCCATAATTAAAAGCATTTCTGAAACTTCTGCTGTGTCAGAATAACAGTTTTTCTTTTTATGTTCAGTGAAGATAAGTAACATGGATGACACTTTCCTGGAAGTAACCTATCTTTAGTTCTAATGTCTTTTATCCTTCTCGACACCACCCTACTGGCTAGGAACTCTCGGTAGACAGATCCATGGTCATATCTGAAATATAGCTAAAAATTTGAAACGAGCAATCTGTAAAAGAAAAACATGTTTTTCTTGATACATAAACGGAAATTTTTGTTTCCCAAAAATTACTTTGCTTGCTAATTGATATGCAGCTGTTCTATGCAATATGACTATATAAACTATATGCATACAAGAAATATAAAAGATCATGAGCATTTAATTTATGTTATTCTCTCCTAACTGCTTAAAATTTGTCTGCTGAACCAAGGGGGGAAATAGATATTTACCCTTTGTCAAAAGAACTCTGTTGTGATAATTTTACCACTGAAACATGCCAATAGTAATTGGAAGTCCACGGCCAATTAGCAAATGGGGCATGTTCACCCGCATCTGGAAGAGCACGGCACCACCCACCCTCCTCAGCCCTGGATTCCATGCTGCTGTCACGCGGTGTTGTGAGCAGTCCTCCCAGGGTGCCAGGTTACAGAGATGTTCTCATGCACACTGGCACACTGCTGGGTTTTTTCCTAATGTAACAATCTTTAGAAAACTGACAAATTATTTATCTATAAAAAAATTCAAGAGTAATCCCAATTGTCATGAGAATGTAAACATTTCACATAAATAAAGCTCTGTGACTATAAAGTAAGAATTAAGTTAAAATGTAAACAGCTGACAGATCATACCTAGCACACTTGTCTAAGGTGCCATATTTTGCATGAAAAGCTTGATTGTTGAAAGACTGGCTTCGAATCAATTTGGATTTCTTGATCTCTTTGCCTAGAGTGGTAAGCAGAAGGAAAATATAATTTTCAGTTCATTCTTAGCTGCCCAACCCCCAATCCCTCGCCAACTACCACCTGTCAGTAACACTTGGAGGGTCCAGATTCCCTTCCTTAGTCACCCCTACTGCCCATAAGAACCACCACACCAACCAACAACGGAGGCCAAAAGGTGCTTTAGAATAACATATATTGTCAAACTCAGTGACTTTCCCGTCATCAAGTTTTATGAAAGGAAAAAGGGAGACACAAGAAGATGCTGCTTCCTACTTGTGGATGGGGTCCCAGAAGCGGGTCCAGAAACCGAAACAGGCGTGTTCTTGGGCAGAGTTGTCGGTGCCTTCATGTCTCTACCTAAATAAAATAAACTCTGCATTAAGTTCTATAATGTCCTCTAAATGCTTTTCAATCTCTAAAATTATACAAGAGAGTATGAATTAGTATCCCCAGCTAAGCAGCACTCTTTCCCAACTATTCTTTTTTTGTATATTTACCTATTTTAAACCTAGCTACTTGTGATGGGTTTTACAACCTTATTGCTATGATCAAATTTAGGCTTTCCTTTGATGGCTCCACACTGATCCCCACCATTTGCTCATGTATTTCTAAATCTCTACCACATTAAACAACCCATTTTTAAAAAATTTTTCAAATTGAAAGAATTTTCCATATCAAATTACAAACTCAGCATGGTCTTTCAGAATGCCAGGATGCAACATCAGTTGTGTTACTGAACATGCAGATGCAGGCAAACTACTTACGTTTCTTTTCAAAGGTTTTCTCACTCATGGGCCTTCCATCATTCTGTTGCTTCTCTTTCTCTAACTGCTCCTGTTATTAAAATAGGATCTTAGCATTAAAGGTAATCATGAATAGATTTAGAAAATTATTAGGATACCCTGAATAAATATAGTACATAAAAATGCATAAAAACTATTTTTTTTTACAAGTTAGTATCTAAAGAAGTCAAGGTCCTTTCAGATTGGTGTCATTTTTTTTAAAGATTTATTTATTTATGCATACAACAGCTGGGGTACAGGCCAGAGATGTAGGAGGTGAGAGGACTCACCAGAGACAGAGCGGGGAACAGATCAGGCAGACTGAAATCCACTGCTGAGGGGAGCAGTGGGAGAAGCAGGAGGGGTCTGCTGCACCATGTGTGTAGCTCCCTGGCCAGCTGGGGATCAAACTCGTGCTGCAGAGGCTGTGGAGTGCTTCACGGGGCAGTGCTTAACCCCTTGCACCACTAGGGGAGACCCCAGATTGGTGTTATTTTAACATCAACAGAATTACGCCCTTGGGGATTTGGCGTCAGTATTATTGTCTCTGTGAATTTGGTACCAAAGTTATTTTCTAGAAGATAGTTACAGATTCTTGTCAGCAAAATATTTATTACTGGTCATTTCCATTTCTGATTGGTGAAAGGCAAGATAGTTTTTCTAAAAAGGAAATGGTCTTGTAGATATTTTTTAAATGTTTTATTGAAGTATAATATATGTAGAGAAAGTACACAAATTTTAAGTGTAGAGGTCAATGAATATTCCCAAAGCGAACACATCTGTAAACCAGTCCCCAGATCAAGAAACAAAAGTGCTAGCAAAGCTCGGGATTCTCTTATCCCAATACAATAAGTACAGAAGAAGTTCAATAATTACCAAGTTTAAACAAACTCAGCATAACAGGCATGTGAAGAACACTGCACTCAACAACTGGAGAACAAGCATTCTTTTCAAGGGCACGTATAAAAAGAAAAAGATGGAGGAAATAAATAAGGTGACACATTTTCATACAGAATTGGACTGAATGGAAATGGAAATGGAAATTCTGAAACTAAAAATAAAGCACATAAAATATAAAAAATCGTTATGTGAACGCCGACATCGGGATCATCTCTGGGTCTCTTTCCATTGTCTGACTTTTGTCTTGAGTTTAGGTCACTTAGTTCTAAAAACCTTTGAGGGCCTGCTTGTTCTCTGAAGTTTCTTCCCTGGAAATTATGAATTCTAATCTTTGTTTTGGAAAACTGCTGAAATAATGCTCTTTGCTTTTCAGAGCATATCCACTTACGTTTTACTCTCACAGGATAAGAATTCTCTGCAGTGAAAGAGAAAATATAAAAATGAAATAATGGAATTTTAAAACTGAAAAATACAATTGAAAGTAAAAAATATACTGGAAAGGACAGGAAATACACTGAGCACAAAGAAAAGGGAAAGAGCTGGTAACATTGAACAGAAATTATCCACTCACTCTGGGCATAGTTTAAAGAATAAAAGACAAAAAATCAAGGATCTGTGGGACAGTATCAAAAGGTCTAACACATGTGTAAGTGAAGACCCAGAAATAGAAGAATGGGCTAGACTATGTATTGAAGCAATGACTCAATCCTTCCCAAATACGTGGAATGATACACGTTTACAGATTGTGGAAGCACAGCCGTTCCCAAACAGGATAAACTTGAAGTAATCAAAAGCACACACCAAAAGCAAACTGCTAAAAACAAGAGATAAAGGGAAAAATATTGAAAGTGCCAGAGAAAAGCAACACCACAAGCAGAAGAACAATTCCAATGAAAGGTATTTTACCAGATGCTATGGAGATCGGGAGACAGACAGAAACACATACTGAAAGAATTAGGCTGTCAACCCAAAATTCCAAAATGGCCTTCAGGAATGAAGGTAAAATGAGACATTTCAGAAAGGAAATGAGGAGAATTCCTGCACTCTAAGAACTGCTAAAGAAAAGTTCTTCAGGCTGAAGGGGAAAAAATAAGAGGGAAATTTTAATCCGAGCCAATGACGTAACAGCACTGGATATGGTAAACATCTGAGCCAACAGTTTGCTCCCTGGTCCTCAATATATATGACTTAAAGCAAAAACAGTAACACTGTCCGATGGGGTTTTCAAGGTGGATGTCATTCACACAGGAGCTATAAAGAATGGCATGGAATAGTAAAGGGGTCTCTATCACTGCTAAATGAAGTGGTACAATATTAACAATAAGTAAACTGTAAAGATGGATATGTATTTCTCTAAAGAAACTACAAAATAAAAAAATTACAAATTAAAGAAAGCAAGAGAGAAGGAGAACATCAGTCATTAACAATGAAATGGGTACATAAAAATACAAAAATAAATAAATCTTAAAAAAAAAAGAATGAAATGGGTTATTACCATAGATCCTACATATATTAAGATTATATAAGAGTATTATAAACAACTGAATGCAACATATTTGATTTCAATAAGGGTAATTTGTTTTAAAAAAACTTATAAAATTGACAAAAGAAAATCTGAATTGTTTTATGTCTATTAAAGAAAATGAATCAATTATCAAAATCCCAAAATGAAAATGGTAAGCCTTGGCATTTTCATTAATAAATTCTATAAAACACTTAAGGGAAAAAAAAACACCAATTTTATACAATCTAGAAAATAAAGGAAGTGGTAATATTATCCATCTTGTTTTATGAGGCTAGAGTAACTGCAGTACTAAATTTAACTTACAAAAAAAATGATAAAAAGGACATTATGGAATAATTTCATCATAAATCTATGGATATAGACACAAAAATCCCTTTAAAAATTAACCAAGAATTCAATAACAGAGGAAGGACAATATCATCACCAAGTAGTTTACCCTGAAATACAAGATTGATTTACTATTTGGAAAACCATCATAATTGAGGAAATCAATACAAGGAGAAAAACCAAGTATTTCTAGACACACAGAAAAAGCATCTAACAAAATCTAACCATCATTCCTATAAACCTCCCAGCAGACTAGGAGTAAGAGGGAATTTCTTCAGTCTGGTAAAGGGCATTTACATAAATCTGTTGGCATCATCATACCTAATGTTGAAAGAGTGGACTGGATTTTCCTCTGGGCAGCAAAAAGAAGAACACCTGCCTGGCTCACTTTTATTCAACTAGAGGCCTTTTATTATATGGAAGTCTTGGTCCTTGCAATAGCCTTTAAAATACGTATCTTTTTTTGAGCATTTGGGTTGTTTCCAAAGCTTAGCTATTGTAAGTAGCGCTGCTATAAACATAGGGGTGCAGGTGCTCTTTGGAATGGATGTTTCTGTGTCCTTTGGGTAAATACCTAGGAGTGGAATTGCTGGATCCTATGGAAGCTCTATGTTTAGTAGGTCCAGAAATCTCCACACAGCTCTCCATAGTGGTTGGACCCGTTTGCACTCCCACCAACAGTGCAGGAGAGTTCCTTTTTCTCCACACCCTCGCCAACATTTGTTGTTGCTAGTTTTTTTAATATGTGCCATTCTCACTGGTGTGAGATGGTATCTCATGGTGGTTTTGATTTGCATTTCCCTGATGACAAGTGATGTTGAACATTTTTTCATATGTCTGTTGGCCACTTGCATTTCCTCTTCAGAGAAGTTTCTTTTTAGCTCTTCTGCCCATTTTTTGACTGGGTTATTTTCTTTGTTGTTGTTGAGTCTCATCAGCTCTTTGCAGATTTTTGTGATCAGTCCTTTATCATTAGTGTTGTGTGCAAAAAATGTTCTCCCAGTCCGTGGGGTTTCTCTTTGTTTTTGTTATTGTCTCTTTTGCTGTGCAGAAGCTCTTTAATTTGATGTAGTCCCAGCTGTTTATCTTTGCCTTCACTATCACTGCTTTGGGTGATGTGTCTGTAAAGATGTCTTAGATGTGAATATCACGTAGTGTTTCGCCTGTATTTCCTTCTGTGTATTTTATGGTGTCAGGTCTTATGTCTAGTTCTTTAATCCATTTTGAGTTGATTTTTGTGTATGGTGTGAGGTAGTGGTCAAGCTTCATTCTTTTGCATGTAGCGACCCAGTTTTCCCAGCACCATTTATTGAACAAACTTTCTTTGCTCCAATGCATAGTCTTTGCTCCTTTGTCAAAGATTAGTTGACCATAAATCTGTGGGTTTATTTCTGGATTTTCTATTTGATTCCATTGGTCTGTGTGTCTGTTCTTGTTCCAAGATGTGGTACGTATTGTAGGAAAATAAAGTGTTAATGTCGTTTTGCCGGGGACATTGGAAGATGTGCGACCACCTTTTGGCCCCCTGATCCGGGAGCCTGGCCAGCGCCCGGACCAGGAGCCAAAAGATAGGGCTGGTTATGTAACTGTTCGCGATGTCCAGGACCACCAAGAAATGGGTTGGTTATGTAACTCCGGGGCGTCGTGCACAGAAACGTGACCAGCCCACCATGAATCCCTGGGTTTGGATACTGGCCATATCCGACCTTGGGAGATAAAAACACAGTGGTTACCTAGCTGCTGCTGCTTGCAGCTGCTGGACGTGGACATGTCTCCCATGCTGTTCTCCGGAGTGCTGACTTTTTGCCTCCGTGATGCTGTTCTCCAGAATGCTGCCTTTTTGCCTCCATGATGCTGTTTTCCGGAGTGCTGACTCTTTGCCTCCGTGATGCTGATTTCTGAGGAAACTGTACAGTACGTATGCATGATTATCAGTTTGGTCTGGTTTGGGGCACTGTTTATAATTTTGCTTGTGCATCGCCTGTGTTGCTCACAATAAATCCTTTTTCCTTTTAATACGGTGTGGTCATTGAATCCCACAGAATCGAGCCTCCCTCAAACACCTGTGCACAGGGCTAGCAATTATATTTTATTGCTAGCTACACATATACACCATGGAATTATATACTCAGCATTCAAAAAAGATAAACGCATGCAATTTGCAGCAACATGGATGGCGCTGGAAGGGATCATGCTCAGCGAAATAAGCCAGAAAGAAAAAGAAAAATACCGGATGGTCTCACTCATAGCAGGAATCTAGAAAACTTAAATAAGGGACCAGGAAAAAGAATAACTATAAGAAAATGAAAATCAAAATCAACAAAAAAACTATGAACCAGAGAAACTCTATGGAGGGTAGGGGGCGGGGAGGGGAGGAACTGGGGTCAAAATAAGGGGGTTGCAATTGTATGGGGAATATAAAAATTAAATTTATTTTAAAAAAATTAAAAAATAAAATAAATTTGTATCTTGCAAAAGATATAAAAATACATAAATATTGAATCAGAAGAAGTAATCTTCTGCACTTGAAGACAATATAATGGCTTACAGAGAAAACCCTGGGTAAACTTAAGTAACACCTTCTGGACGAGTAAGTAACTTAGCAGGTTTGCAAGATACAAGAATTTATATTCTTATACTCTAGCAACAAAAAACTAGAAAGCAAAATAAAAATTACAGTTCTATTTACAATAATGCCAAATAACACAAAGTACCTAAGAATAAGCCTAACAAAAAATTTCCTTGAATTCTACAACCAAAATTACTAAGAAAAAAGTGAAGAAGACTAAATTAATGGTGTAACAGATAACATTCGTAGATGAGAAGACTCTTATTGTTAAAATGGCAATTCTCCAAATTGGTCTAGAGATTAATCATGATTACCACAATTAAAAAATTAATTAATAGAGCCTTCCCTGGTGGCACAAACAGTTAAGTCACAGCACTATAAAGTTATCTGTAGCCACTGCAGCATGAGTTCGTTTTCCGGCCAGGGAGCTACCCACATGGCGCAGCAGACCTCTCCTGTCTCGCCCGCTGCTCCCCTCAGCAGTGTACTTCAGTCAGTCTGACTGTTCTGTTCCCCACTCTGTCTCCGGTGAATCCTCTCACCCATCCCCACACTTTTGACCTGTACCCCAGTTCTTGTATGCATAAATAAATCTTTTTAAAAAATTAATTAATAAAAAAAAAGCTATGGGCCACATAGAGGCATGGGTAAACTTTTGAGGGAAAAGCAGTATTTGGTATTTTGATTGTGGTGATGGCTTCATGGATGTCAAAGTTCATCAAACCATACACTTTAAATACACACAGTTAATTGTATGTCAATTACACTTCAATAAAATTGTGTGTTGGTTTTGTTTTAATGGTTCCCAAAGGTTGTTTCCCTTCTAGTTCATAAAAGAACAGATTTCAAAACATCAGGATACTTATTCAGTCATTCAGGAAGAAAAAAGTGGTAAGAAATTTTTAAAATAATAAAGTAGTTATAATGATCAGGAGAGAGAGAGAGAGAGAATGTGTGTGAGAGTGTGTGTGTGTGTGTGTGTGCGAAAATAACATACCATTTCCAAAAGAAGTAGTTCTTCTCTTTCTTTCTCTTGATCCAACAAATCTTTTTCATAAAACTTTTTCTGAAACTATTAGTTTAAAATAAAAATGATGCAACATTAATCATGAGTTTCTACCAAGTTTTAAATATTCCTCTTAATTAAGGTAAGGAGAATACTCACAGCATCCATAGACATTTCCATCCTGTCCAATTCTAGTACAGTCTACAAAGAAAATTATGAGACATCATTGCTCAACCCAAGGTAAATTAAACCAGCCAGTCATTTCTCAGAGACGCCTGATTTCCAGAGAGGTTCAAAGAGGAGACTTCTACACTATGTAGAAGACTGCATCAGAAAACCTCTAAGATTCCTTCTAATCGTATCCTGTATTTTTAATCAACTTCTATATAGGAACACCAGGACTTATTCACACTTCTGACAAAGTCTTTAACCTTAAAAGGAACAAGTTTAGAGGAATACTTTAAATACTAAATACATTCAATTTAATTTCTAATAACTGCCACTCTTTTCTGAATTTTCAGAAATAGAATAATATTTTTGCATTAAAAAATAATCTGTTATTTAAACATACATGAAGCAAACTCATTTGGCTAAAAATCAGCCCAGAGAAAAGACTACTCTGAAAGTATTCTCTCGATTTTAATATTTGTCTTTTACAATACTTTGAAATAAATTATTTCAATCAAAGAATGGTCCACATAATCCAGGGTTCTCTCTCTGACAGAGGATGGTGACTTTCCATGAGTCACTCTCATTGAATAGAAAGTAGAATCACACATTCATATCCCAAAGCTATATACTGTAAACATTACATTTATTTGAAGCTTTATTTTTGTGCTGAAATTTATGAAAACTTTATACTTATGCCATGAAACATCCCTTTCAAATAAAATTACTTCCCATCTTAAAAAACTGACTCGGGTAAACTATTCCATTTTTACCCAGAAGCTTTGAATAGATTTCTCAGAAGTTCCCCTATCAGCACCTTAGCTTGATATACATTATACCACAGAATTTTCATGGGACACATTGACTTCATACTCAAAGTAAGAGCTGTACTCCAGAATTATCCAATGTAGATTAATAAGTCTTTAAGTACATCATTTTTATAACCTGTTTCTTGGATTAGCTTCCATTATTGTGAGCTAATAAATTCCTTCATAAAAGTAACCCTCTTGTGTTTGTTCTGACAAGTCAACTCCGTTGTCCAAACTCCTGTAGTTAAGTGTTAAATATCTGGTAGAAACAAACATATGTATATAGTATGTTACATGTAATGTACTATATAAGTGGTGTGTTTTTACATTTCATGTCCAGACTCTGGGTATTTCTGGTTATCCCAGTAGATGAAAGAAAAATAAACCAATAAATACTGGGGGAAAAAAAAAAAAACGTAAGTATTAACTCATGCCAGTTTAGCAAAGATATATTTGAATGTACTGCTATCCTACAGGTAAATTTGAATGTACTGTTATCCTACAGGTAAAGGTAAAATAAGCAGAGGATTAGCACTACCTTGATGCAAGGAATGCAAAGGCGGTGGTGACAGTGACACTTACTCTTTTTACAATGGCCAGGACATCTTTATCTTTTTCTTGACACAGGAGTTTTCTCACACACATCTCTAACTGCTGCAGTAAATGCTTATCTGCAGGAATCTTCAGGGTGGACTTCACTTTGGGCAACAAGCAGCAAAGTTTCATTCTATAACAAATTAAATGGTATTTACTCTTGAGTGAATTTAATAACTAAGGATAAAAGTCACATGAAATAAAGAAAATTCAAATTTTAAATAGCCCAGAATTCATTTATGCATTAGCTATTCTGGGTGCTGAGGTCCAACAGTAAATAAAAACAAATAAAATTCTTCATTCTTGTGGCACTTATTATGCTAGTATGGGGGTAGAGGAAAGAGAAGTTAAAGGTCAGACAGTGGCAAGTGCTGTAGAGAAAAATAAAGTGGGAAGGAGCTGTGGGAGCACAGAAGAGGGGCATTACCATTTTTATGCAAGCAGAGAGGGTTCAGTGACAGTCTCCCTGAAATGATGACATTGAGGCAGAGACCGAAGGGTAATCAGGGAGTAAACCAGGCAAGGGTCTGGAGAACATTCCAGGCAGTGAATGCAGTAAGCATAAATGCCCTCTGAGGTGGGCCTTGCTGGGATGTTGCTTCAAAACAGCAAATTTGCCCAAACCAGCCAGCTGGCAGCAGTGGGTAGACAGAGCAAAGCGAGATGAGCAGAGGCCACGGCCCAGGGGCCGCACCTCCAGGGCCCGCACCTCCAGGGCCCGCAGCCACCGACTGGGGACCGGCTTTTCTTTTGGTGCAGTGAGAAGCCGTAGGAGGGCTTGGCACAGAGAACTGACTTAACGTCTGAAGGGTGTCATCTGGCCAGTGTGAGGATAAGACCTTAGATGGTGAAGGACAGAAGGAGGGACGTAACAAGGGAGGGCCCTGCAATGATTCAGGCAAGAGGTCGGCAGCTTGAACCGGCGCCCGCACTGGGGGCGGCGTGGGGGGCGAGGAGTTGGGCCCCATGTGCTCTGCAAGCTGTGAGATGGGCTGAGGGCGGGGGCAATAGGAAGGAGCCCAGGTGTGGACTTGAGCGAGAGGCGAGATGAAGCGGTTATTTACTGACATGGAAGAGACGGCAGGAGGAGGGTGCGCAGAGGAGGAAGATGGGGTTTGACTTGAGGGAAATTACATCGGGACTGCCTCGGAGGTAGTCAGTCACTGGAAATGCTAAGTGGGCAGTCTGTTTGATGAGCCATTGTCCAGGGCAAGTGTCTGTGCGGGAGAAGACAGGAATCTTGAGGTGAAGTAAATCACGAGACTCGAGGGGCCAGCAAGAATCAGCAAGGCAGAAGGGCAGGCAGGTAAGACAGGAAAGAGAGCAAGAGTCTGCAGTGCCCCCAGTGTAGATAGGGCAGAGCAGACTGGAGAACCCCAGAGGTGAGAGAAAACCCCCCATCAGGAGGAGGCAGTCACAGGAAATGTTCTCCTTGCGGACACGGTAAATTGCAGCGCTGGTTTCAGCGGTGCCGGCCGCATGGACACCCACAGCTGCTGTATTCACTCCTCCGTCTGAGAGCTCCCGATCATGAGCAATTTATTTCTACACCAAAACTTGAACTAGCTAAGTTCCACTCCTAGACTTTCCAGAACGGTTTCTCGGCCAAGCCTTCAGTTAAGGAGACTGGGTAGACAATAAAATGTGCTTTTGATTCAACAGGCAAAGAGAAAGCAACTTCTTCTCCGGGGTTTCCAGCTCTGGTCACAGGCCTAATGGTCTCATTCAGAGTTTACCAAAGATACTACTAAGACTGGTGAGGCTTTCTCAAATTAACAGGTCCCAATTCCCCCGATGAGATGTTTTTCATTTCTGTCAGCAGAGGAGAAGGTTCCTTGGAATACCAAGTCTATTTTCGGCCTCCATACTATCTAGATTCAGTGAAGTTAAAGTTTAAACATTTACTTAAGGAAAGAAAAAAACCCAATTCACAGCCTATGCACACTTCATTCTTTATAACCCAAGGCAGGTCTAGAAAATAAATATTCAGCAGAAGTTACACAAACTATAGTAGTGATTTATGAGAATGAGAATCCTGGTCCCAAGAGATTATAAAGATTTTGAGATTAGGGACGGCACCTTTCTGGTAAATTAACTGTTTATTTACATTATCTCAGGTACTTATTCCTCAGAACACCTTAGGAATCAGATACTAAGGAAACTGATGCACAGAGAGGTTTTATAACTTGCCCAAAGAGACGCAACTGAAGTACAGCTGGAAATCTCTCCTAGGGGTCTGAGTTCAGGACAGAGACACAGAGCAGAGAACACAGAAATTAAACAGTTGAGGGTTTACAATTGTCTTCAACCACTTTCTCTACTTTCTCTCAAGAAGTAGTATATGTACACTCAGTATCACTGAACTGTACACTCGAAAATAGTTAATATGGTGAACTTATGCATATTTTACCACAATAAAATAAAGATAATATGCTTATTTAGGGGAAGAAATAAAAAGGCAGACTTATTTTCTTTTTTCAGTTTCTAAGCAAGCCAGAAAAGCCTGCTGGCTTGGCTCTGAGTAGCGCTGTCAACCCAACAGGCAAAAAGACACAGACAGAGGTCAGTGATTTTGCCTCCAGGTTCAATTAATGCTCCTCAACTAAAACTACAAAGACTTGAAAACAAAAATAAATTCTTCACTTGATGTTTTTAATTGACCTAGAAAAAGATTTTGCATACACCCATTATAGTAGATACATTAAAAATGTATTTTCTTGGCTTGGCACCATACCTCACATTTGCCACTGGATCATGTGTCAGTTCAATAGCAGGTAGAAAGAAATATTTACAGAAAAATGATTTGGAAAAGATATCTATAATAAATTCACAGGTATCCAAAAATCGAAGTCTACTCCAATAACTTTTTCCTTGGCCCAGTTCTAGAAACAAAAAATAGTAAGTTTAATTTTTCTGACATGAAATTACAAGTGACAAGAGTATACAAAGTTCATGACAAAGTTCCTTATATCCACAATTTTTCAAGCAGCTACAAGAGATTTTTAATAACCATATTTTATATGCTCCAAATTTGTAGACTCCAAATTACTGATACCTCAAAACCAGAAAAAAGTTAATTAAATAATGCATTCTGTTCCAGAAACATTTATTAAATATTGAATTCAATATATGTACTATTTTCTGATCATTCACTACATAAGTACTTCACATATTACCTTATTTAATCTTGGAAAAGCAACCCAGTGAGATAAGCATAAATTTAACCCTCCTAAAATAGATACTAAGATTAAGAGAAGTTAGAGTCACAGAGCAAGGAAGAGCAGAAGTTCAAATGCAGCTCTGCAAACATCAAAAGTGTTTAACAAATTAACTGTTTTCCTCTCATTGGATAAAGTCACACATAAACACAGTATTACAGACAATAATTCAGATCATTCTTCAAAGGATAATTATCTCCTTTATTATTCGATGTTCAAAGGCAAAAGTAATTCTTTAAACCATATAGAATCTTGTTTCAAACTGACATCCTAAATATGAGGTCCTACCACTAATAAAAATTGAATTAAAACAGTCTTTAAAAAAGTAATATTAAACTATACTAAGGATAATTTTTCCTAAGCTAATCTTTATGTATTTTAAATTTGTTTTAAAAGTGGCAATCCCTACTTAATATGGTAAACTCCAATTCCATTCCCTTATGTGCTTTATTATATAATTTAATAAAAGTATTAAGACATTATAGTCAAAGCAAGTATACAATATTTAACAAAATCACTAAGTATACATATACTATATCTAGAATTAATAATTACACTAAAGGTCTCTGCCTTGATTTTACATATTGAAAATAAATTATATTTAATTTAAATTTGCACTTGTTAATTGGTTTGATTTTTAAAAGACATTAGAAACCAGTGAGGCTCACTAAGTTCACATATTTATACTAGCAACTCTATTCATGAAAACAATAAAGCCCCTATTCTGTTAATAATTAAAATAGAAACAGAAATTATTAGATTCATGGGTATTCTATTTATATTTCTATTATATTTCTATTATATTTATATTTTAGTTCAAAATTCAATTTTATCAGACCAGAACTAGGTTTTCAATAGAAGTATACGTATTTTAATTTCTCAAGTCTAGAAATGCACAACAGATGGGATATCTGATCCTGTCATAAATCGGAAAATTAACCAACAAAAATCAAATGCAAAAAATACTTTAGATTTGTATCAACATCAGCCTAATTATCCGTGATAAAATGATACAGAAAGTAAATCAGGTTAAACCAATTTGTTTGCATTCTTTTTTTCCCAAAATGAAAGGCGAAGTTTACTTACGTTCAATTAATTTTTGAATGACCTCAAGCCTCTGGTCTTGTTTACGATTATAGCGTAAAAAAATGCATAGAGTTCGTGAAGCTGCCTTTTGGACAGGTAAGACATTCTTAAAGAAATAAGAAAGACAATTAAACTAGACTAATAGTATATGCTCTAATAGTATATACAGTATAATTTGGCTGCATAAATCAATTTGAAGTTATTGGCTGAAAGAGCGAGCAGTGATGTTTGCCTCTCAAACCGCTGTTGAAGTGTCTTCAGAATTTAATGTTAATATCACACAGACACATCAACTAATACATCACATTACAGAGTTAGCTGACTTCAGCACGGTCCTTTTCAAATCATCAGATTTGATTTATATATTTGACTCTCATCACCTTGCCACTTCGTCGTTAAGTGACAGTCACTGATTCCTCTCAGCCATTCCTTGGAACTTGTTAACTCACATATTTGACAAATATTTACAAGAATATACCCAGTGTCAGGTATATCACCAAAATTGTGCCACTTTTAATATATAGATTTATAGATCCCATGATCAGGTATACTTTTTGATCCTTCTGGTTTAATTCTCCCTCTTCAACCCCAATGTCACCTATTGAGATCCCTGGTCCACAAAACAGATAAATCTTAAATTCCAAGGTATATCATATCAGTCAGAAAATCTGTTCTGGGTTAAAAGAGAAGTAAGACATGTAACAACCCAAGCCAATGTATGGATCTAAAAGTGATGGGCTCACATTTGTCATCATGATTGTGAACATTCTCTGTAAGAAACGATAATAAATCTGATCGCTTGATATGACCTGCGGCAGGCAGGCATACTTCTGTAGGAGCTTCTCGTGAGTTCTCCATTTTAAAGAGGCTGCAGCTCGCTGCTCAGCTGCCGTAAGGGCGGGAATCAAGTCAGGCAGAGATGACAACTGAAAGAGACACATCAGAAGCACCCATGAAAACTACATAAACCCACCATGGCATCTGCTCAAATGATTCCGCCTTACAATGCACTGGGGCGGAGGACACGCTTGCTCATTTCAGAACTTGGGAGCCATCTTTGTTAATTATTGGGTGACAACAAATACTTTTTCAAGAATCCATAAGTAAAATGTACAGTTACTGGAAACCTAATTTTGACATAGAGATGAGGACTATCTTTCCTGGCTGATTGATCACACAATAGCAACTCTTCTGCCTAAAGAAAACTGTAACAACATAGTTCACTATCAGCAAACTTGGGCCCTCTAAATCCCACGCTATTGTCCTCACCAGTTGCTACTCTTGGGATAATCATTATTGCTAATAAAAACTGAATGAGAATGTAAACTCCAAGGAGAAGAAATCACAGTCATGGTAACGTAAGAATTAAAGAAGAAATTCAAGCCATTCCAATTCCAACAGGTATTTCCTGAGCACCTACTATGTGGCAAGCACCATTTTAAATGTTCTTCATACGCTCTTTCCTTGATTCCTCACAATAGCCCTGTAGAGTAAGGCAATACTTAAAACATTCAGAAACTGTGTTGATACATGGGACTTGCCTTATTTTCTTGAATACTGCTTTCTCCGCCAGTAGACATAAGTTCCAGGATTTCTGGAAGATGATCTATAAGAGCATCTAGTACCTTTTAATAGAGATATTGATAACTCTTAGAGTGATAACTATGTTTTTCTAATCTTGTATTAGTTAACTTCATCTGTCAATTTCTACACAGAAGTAGTATAATTTACCAAACAACATTGGGGGGGGGGTTCTATTTTCTTACTCTGACATCTTTTTTGCTGGAATATCTTAGCAGCATAATCACCTTCCTTGAGCAAACTACTTTAGAAGAGAGATTAATCCATCTCCCTCTTGATATTGTTCAAAAGGTGTAGATCTGAGCAGCAACTTCCACACACCAACACACTCAAAAACTGCTTCCCAACTTTTGAAAAGTGATTTAAGTCATGTAACACACTCAGTGATTTCTAAATGTTGATAAATTGAGTGTTGACCAGCTGCACATCATCAAGGTGAACAGGATATACTAAATGAAGCACCAAAACAAAGATATTTTCAAAGTCTTCACATGTATACCCCCAAACTATGTGGAGGGAAAAAAAGGCATGAAATGTAATGTAACATATGATTACAGTGGTGCAAAATAAAAACCTTGCTACGTAAAAATATATTCTAAAAACCTTTACATAGAAAAAAATAGAAAATGAAAAATATAACAAAATAGTAAAAGTGATTAGAAGAATAAAGATATTCTTTTATCTGTCTATACTTTGGCATTTCCTAAATTTCCCTTAACAAACATACACATATATTTTAAATAAATATAGATGGTAATCTAATATTTTTAAAAGAGGTTCCCAATTCCCAGTCTATGATATACAGTGGTACACTGACTTAAAACTTCTGGGCCTAGTCAGCTGAAAGAGTTCATATAATTCCTAAGAAGTAGGGAGGAAATGCACTGATATTTGGACTTAGCATAAAAGAAGTAAAAACCAAAGAGTAAGAAGATATTACCTCCAGTGATTCGTCTTGTAATAATGTTATTAGTTCTTTATGAATTAAATATACTCCAGAATTCAGAAGTTTAGACACCTAAAATGTAGCAATAAAGTCTCTCAGATTTGAGACTACTGGACATAGAAAGGTCATAATAATAATTTTTTTTTAAATACATCCCTGTTAAGATACTTCTAAAATGAGACTAGGTTACAACAATCTAAAATTGTATTTCTAGAGAATTTAATGGCATACATAACCAGCTCTTCAGTCTGTTCTGTGACACGCTGGAGCGCATGGACATCAGGCGGTGGGAAGCACAGAAGAATGGCTTTCATTAGCACAAGCAATGCTAACCCAAGGATGTCCCCCAATGACATCTGCAGACACTGAGAGCAGCCAACAGGGTCTGACAGAATATTCCAGGCATAGGAACATTCATCCAGGTCCAGAGCTTCACAACAAGGGCAGGTTTAACGAAGGCCCGCCCGGCTGACTGGGGTGGAGAAGGCCTACGCAAGCAGACCGGCGAGGCCTCCCCTCAGAGACTTTCGTCAGCATGAAAGGAGGGGGTGGGGGGGGGGGCTAACCCAGTTCCTTCATGAGCAAAGTTTTCCTTCCTTCATACTCGGAGCCCACAAAGGTAAATCCACCAGTTTCTAACTTCACCTTTATTTTCACTTTTGGGCTTCTGAGTAAGGTTTTATATGGGTAAAAAAGAAATTTCTGGATAAAGAAAGTGTTTTAAGAAACCTGAGTTCTACAGGGTTGTTTTTGACTTGTTGAAATATATTCAGAATATTATTATTCTGTAAAACAAGAATAAAGTTAGCACTAGAAAGGTAACTATCAAAATCTAGCAGCAGCACTGTAGAAAGACATAAATGCACCGGTGGATTTTCATAATTTAAAAGGACAAAACTGGACTAGCCACTCAGTTTAGAGTAGAATATCATTATTACCCTTCCAACAGGCATGATTTTGAGAATATGGAAAGCAGCCATCCAGAAAATAGCTATATCAACAATTCCCAAATCCACTCCCACCAGTGAAATGTGTCTGTATAACAGGTCAATGTTTAGTTGGTGTGAACATGTTATGTCCACTGTAGAACATAAGTAAAAACGTAATATTAACCAGTTGAGATTCAAAATAAACAGAAACAGAGACTCCAACATTATATAGTTTTGCATTCTCAGACTATAGTCTCGTGCAAACACCTCTGGAGATCACCAAGCTGGACAGAGAAAGCAGGCGTGGAGACCAAGGCTAACTGCCTGTTGAATGGATATTGGAGACAATTATTTCCCTCAGCATCCGGTGCCCTTAATCCTCTTCCCGACTGCAAAATCGCATTTCTAAAGCATAGTTACAAAGGTGATTTGATTGTGCAACACTAAAATTACTTTAATTGATTATAGCATCTTAAGGGAATATGTCCTAGATTTTGCACAATGAAGATTTCATTCACACCAGAAAAAAAGGTTATTCAAAAGAAGCAAAGACAGTCCCCCAACAGCCAAAAAAATCTTAAGTTGACATTTATGATGAAGGTATGAATGTCTTGCACAATTTTAGCTAATCTAACAATATTCTGATGTAGGAACACAGTCCAAGAAAGGGAAGGAAATATTATCATTGGTAATAAGAATGTTTATTATACCATCTATGAAGAAAGGAATTAGCTTATTATGCCACTCAGAAAGATTTTTATGTGGCACTTTCAAAGTTGAAAAGCTACAGTTTTTATGTGTATTTACTATAACTATAGCATAAATGTGCTTAGAATGTATTCAAGAAATCTGCCCAAATTTCAAAAATGTTTCAAAAACAATTTTTTTTAAAGTCAACTGCATTCATTATATAAAAGTTGAAATTCACTTTTGCTCTTACATAATGGGGAGCTGTTGAAACAGTGGAATCTAAAAGCCACATCCATGAAATAATCTATTTGCAGTAAAAATAGTAAATTTAAATAATTTTCCAGCAGTTGCCAAGTTTAGGTGCAAAGTTAAATATAAATATTACAAAGCACATGAAAACTGATTCTACTTCCAAATCTGCAACACACCACATCTACACCATAATGTCTGGTTTAAAGTATTTAGTACAGATATATTGAATAAGGGGATTAATAAATGATAAGTGAAAATGATGCATTTGTGTAAATGAATTCTGTAAATATATTCAAAAGAGAATTGCTGGAATTTTAAAATAAGGTTTAGGAAACGACTAATACAAAATATGGACAAATCTTGTAGTACCCACAGGTAAATCAGCAACAAAAGTAAAACGGTATCACTTCTTCAGACTTACTTCATAAAAGCAAATAGCAATAGTGTATCTGACAGGTACTTCAGGGTCATGGCAAAGGCAGAAGAATGTAGAATAGAGCTCCATGTGGAAGTTTTTCGGATCAACAAAAACAATCATGGCCTGGGGGAGTGGATGGGAGAGAATCAGAGGAAAGTAGGGGAAAAGATGCATCAATACTTGATGTTAACCCATTTCACGGACATAGAAATCATGTTCTCCAAATCATAATTTACTTATAAATGATATTTGAAAAGGCCAATGTATACAAGTAATACAGATTTACAGCAATAAACACAAATCACACCGATATTTACTTGGTACCTAACTCCATATACCAAACGTAACGCTAAGCAACAACTGTCAACATAGCAATATCTTTTTTTTTTTTTTTTAAAGATTTATTTATTTATTTATACAAGCACTGGGTACAGTCAGAAGCGCAGGAGGGTGAGAGAATTCACCAGAGCCAGAGCGGGGAGCAGAGCAGGCAGAAGGACCGAAGTACACTGCTGAGGGGAGCAGCGGGCGGCAGGAGAGGTCTGCGCGCCATGTGGGACCCTCGCCCGGCGGCCGGGGATCAAACCGGCGCTGCAGAAGCTGCGGGCAGCTTCGCAGCCCAGCGCTCAACCACTGCACCACTGGGGAGGCCCCATAGCAATATCTTTTAATGCTATCTATTCACATAGTTTTAAAACATGTCAAAATGTTTAGTCCGTATGAATATATAATTCATTACCGGGAAGTTATAGGCACAGTTCTTTCGCACTGAAATATATTTCTTCTCTTGCTCTAGGATTTGGGGTGGAACCTGGTTTTCATTGTGTCCATTTTCTTGTTGCAAACCCAAGGTACAAAGTTTCTTATAAAACTCCAAAAACCTCAAGTGCTGATCTGGAGTAAAAATTCCTAAAACAAATGTAAAACTTTTGCTTAACATTTTAACTGGAAACAAAAACTAAAAAGAGAAAAGCAAAATACAACAAAAGCATAATTAGAAAAAAAAATTTAAAAATTGCTTGGAGGCCATGAATAAAATTAACAATGAGGAAAGAGTAAGTATTATGAAGAAATCTAACAGGTCAACCCACATCAGTTCTGTTAATTTTAGTAATATTTTCATTTTAATGTCGGTAATATAAACTATGCGAAGCAGGAGGAGGGCCCTCACGCGCCTCCACAACGTGTGTCCTACCACAGGTCACCAACAAGCCACTATATCACAAGATCACAGCCCTTCCTGCGACTGAGGCATGGCAAATACTCTAGAATTGCTTGAGAAGTGACATGCAGATGTGTCTGCTTAAAAACTGAATTTAAAAGACACCAAAGTCAATGCAAAGTGCTTCTGATCCACGCACTGGTTCTCCACATTCATTAACTATCTTGCAGGAATAGGAACTCATTATATGTTGCAACACATTTTTTCAACAGCTTATTAAATGCCTGCAACCCACATTAAAAAAGGCTTTATCATGCCAGATGGTTATACCTTAACTAACGCTAACATTATTATAGTAAGCCAAGAAATGAGTAATATGTTCAAATGCCCACGGTTGTGGGTATAATTCTATATTCGAAGCTGAACTGCTCATACGATATATTAATTATTCCATTAATGATTAATAAGAATATACTGACTATATGACAAGGTGACTAATCCTAAATCTCTATTATCACATACCAACTAATGCATAAATACAAAACACTCAGAAATCGAGAGGGCTATGACTCCTGCCTTCTGTCATTCTTTCAGACAGGTCCTACTAGTGAAAAGGTCATTCCAAAATTTGAAGACCTCTTAAGATTTTACACACTTTAGTGGCTAAGACAGAAGAAAAAGGGACACGTTTTCTATGACCTTCAAATTCTTAGCGTACACCCTACCGTACAGTCCATGGCATAGTTTTCCCAAGTGGAAAGACAACGAAATAAGAATTGACTCATCCGCTTTGAAAGATTTTTCACAAAATGTTTTCACTAAGGGAAGTATAGTTTGACTTCTGTCATCTGCAAAACAAAACAAGAGAGACATAGTCTAGATCCAGTTTCCCATACTACACAGATGGGAACTAATAAATGTACCTAAATTCCAGAAGAAAAATTACTATGTTAACCTCATAGTAATTGAAAGTGTCTGAAAAAAAATACTGCAGGTGTGACAGAGAGAGGTGCGAGGAGAGCTGAGATTCTCCCAAACCTGACTGTTTGGCTGAGGAGTTTGAACTTTGTGCCGCAGGCCACTGAGAGCAGAATGCAGAGGCTCCGGTGTTTCAGGTTGTGAGTCCGAATAGCTAAAAGAATTGACACCGCTAATGCAAACAGGTGAGTAGACAGGAAACCTTCCTTCTTCTCTTGGCGCACACTGCACACCAGGCTGAGGTTTCTGTCCATTTCATCATTGTTTTCCACTGAGGTAGTGTTGGTTTACAGCAAACACTGTATGTTTTAGGAGGACAGCTCTATGACTCTTCAAATGTACTCCTCAAATGTATGTCACCACAGCATGCCCACCACTGAAGTTTTATTAACCCTCCACCCCAACCCAATGCACCCCTCCTCCCACTGCTCCTGACATCATTTCACTTTACTCAAATTCAGTCCATTTATAATATGTTCTGTATATTGAATTATTGAATTTCTTCACTTGTACTTCTTGGATGACAATTCTTTTTTTTTTTCATTTTATACTTTTTTTATATCATTCTTCATTTTTTTTTTTAAAGAGGCATGTATATTTATTTATTTATTTGTTTGTTTGTTTGTACATGCACTGGGTACAGTCAGAAGCGCGGGAGGGTGAGAGAATTCACCAGAGCGGGGAGCAGAGCAGGCAGAAGGACCGAAGTACACTGCTGAGGGGAGCAGCGGGCGGCAGGAGAGGCCTGCGCGCCATGTGGGACCCTCTTCCGGTGGCCGGGGAGCAGCCGGGGATCGAACCGGCGCTGCAGAGGCTGCGGGCAGCTTCGCAACCCAGCGCTCAACCGCTGCGCCACTTGGGAGGCCCTATCATTCTTCATTTTTATACAATGTATGCCTTCTTCTCTCAGGTGTAGTCCCCGTCAAATTCTTTTTTTTTTTTTTTAAAGATTTATTTATTTATACAAGAACCAGGGTACAGGCCAGATGTGCGGGAGGGTGAGAGGATTCACCAGGGACAGAGTGGGGAGCAGAACAGGCAGACTGACTGAAATACACTGCTGAGGGGAGCAGCGGGTGAGACAGGAGAGGTCTGCCGCGCCATGAGGGATTCTCCCTGGCCGGCCGGGATCGAACCCACGCTGCAGAGGCTGCAGGCAGCTTCACAGTGCGGCGCTCAACCGCCTGTGCCACCAGGGAGGCCCCCGTCAAATTCTTTAAAAAGTTAATTGATTTTTTGAGTGTGCCTACTTAGGTTAGAAGTTTCTGATATGTTAGCATTGTTTAAATCTTAATTCTAAATACTGTAAATGTCTCACAGTTCCCTTAAACTTACATAAATAAATCACATATTATTAGGAATCTGATAAAACTAACTAAAATGTTACAACAGGCTTATTAGTATCACTGTCATTACTGTCGTTGTCATCACACTTCAGAACCAGATCTACTGTTTTTACCAAGACATTCATTCAACAAACATGCACTGAATTTCTTACCGAGCAAGCTTTATGTTAAACAGAAAGATGAATATTAAGTGGTCTCTGGACTTGAGAAACTCAGCCCATCAGAGAAGCCAGACAAAAACATAGCACAAGTCACTTACGTAATGTTATTGCAATTAAAAAATAAGATGGAAAAAAAATACCTCACAAGAACAGGTGACTACTAGTTTAATAGCTGGCATATACTGCACACCAGGTTGAGGTTTCTGATAAGTCAGGAGTCTGCAAATTTTCTTTGCAAGTGTTCTAGGCTTTGCAGTCTGTCCATTACACTCCTCAGCCCTATCACTATTAACATCTAACCAATTACAGCCAATAAACCCGTAAACGAGGGGGTATGGCTATGTTCCAAGGGGAGCAGGAATTGACCTACAGGCCATAGCTCGCCAACTGCTACTATAAGAAATCTGATGTCAGAGGAGAAATGATTTAAAATGGGCACTGAAGAAGGAAAACATGTTGACCAGGAGAAAAATTAAGGGAAGGGAGGAAAATAGGAAGAGAAGAGAAAATGTGGACAGGCCAGAGGTGTGAACGGGTTTGATATGCCAAGGTGATGGCTAACGGAGCTGGCGCACCAGCCGGCAGGAAGTGGGCCAGATTGGCAGGGATGAAGCCATGAATACAGGGCAGGCCGGGATCTGTGAAAACCATGTGTGGGCCAGAGAAGAGGGAGGAGTCAAAGATGATGGCAGGGGTTGCCAGGTGCCCCGTTATTAGAACAAGGAGATTGAATCATCAGTTCATCAGGTTACAGTTTTTACTCCTCAGGCTCATTATACAGGCCACAATCACTCCGCAACATCTATGCATAATGACTGTTCACGGTGCAATCATCCTTAACAGAGTTCACTTAAAATGTCATTACTCCAAGTAACACAACCCGACAATTGCACAATAGAGTTTTGCACCAGAGTATCTGGCCTCCCCCCTGCAAATTTCACCCTATCCAACTGGTTAACATTTACTGATAAACTGAAGTCCAACATTAGTCAAAAGCCTTATCAGTCAGTAGAGCAAATAATTATCTTCATGGTTTAATTTGCACAAAAGTAAGAAATCAGTCCTTACTCGTTCTCACCCCAATGTCCCATTCCAAATTTCTCTTCCCATAGCCAAGAGATATCTAGCTTTAAAATATTAAGGAGGGAAAACTAAGGTAGATATTGGTTTAGATAAGATCTGTTTAGTTAGGATCAATTAATTGAGCAAGTTAAAGGCTAATCACCAAGAAAAATGTGTAGCCTCCTAAGCAAGTCAGTTAAATTCTGAGAAGAGAAAAACGACAGGTATGGAATATGCAGCAGTACTGGGCGCTGTGAGGGCAGAAGTGGCAGGAGAGAAGGTGGCAAGAGAGACAGCACCATAAAGAGAGAAGGGAGGGGCTCTCCAGTCCTCATCAAACTGAACATAAGAAATTCTGCCCTTTATTCTTTATTGGTAATACAAAAACACACAGGACAGCACTGCTTTCAAAAGCAACGATGTGTCCACGGAAGATTTACCTGTATCAAAGACGTCAAGCAGATTAACCAAAGTCTCAAAAGCGGCTAGCCGCACGCTGCTGCCTTCATCCCTGGAGAGTTCTATTAATTCAGGGAGCACCACATTTTTTGTAAGTTCTGTCCTGCAACAACAGAAGAAACAGAAGCACAAGAAGAAAATAAATCAAATCAATAGACAAGAACATAGCAAGAAAACTTAGTGGGTTATGCTATGGAAAATAGGAGGGAAATCACAAAGCTAGGGATCCAGCTCTCCAGAAGCCTGCAGTCGGGTTGGGAAAACATGATATAAAAACAAACATGAACAGTCATTACAAAGTGGTTAAACTCCAGTACCCACACCCATATTATTAATATAGCGATCTTAACTAGAAATACATATTAAGCTTTATAAATCACAATATAGTTTTCCACTTGAAGCAACTTCAACAAACGATCTAGACTCATTTAGAAAAACTTACCAGTAGCAATTGTAGAAACGCAAACAAAACCTTTTAACTTAGATTTCAGGGTATAAGTGACTTTTTCATTGACCTAAAATAGAGTATTATAGTAACTGATGTCTATAAAGAATGACATATGACACTAGAGTCTCCCTCTAAAAGAGTGAAGCACATTATAAACCGCTGTCAGGGATAAATGATGTTTATAACACAGTCACAAATGGTTCTGTTATTTGTTATTTTATCTCTGCTTATTCACCATGATAAGACCTCGCTGCAATAGCACACATTCTGTGAGATGGAGGCTGGCTTATGAAGCAACCGGCTTTCTTGGGTAAAAGATGGAAAATGGTATGAATCATAACTTGATAGAATATGAAAAAGTCAGTGCGAGCTGCAGAACACCTATGAAATGCCGGACACAGCACAAAGACTGGAAGACACGGCTGTGAAGCGGACCTTTGTGCTACAAGAGAATGTTTATAATCTGTCCAGTCCACGGAGTAGTCACATGTGCTCCTGAGCACTTAGATGAGATCAGAGTAGCAGAGGAGTAGGTGCTAATTTTACTTAATTTAAATAGCCACATATGGGTCCTCCCTGACAACTAAAAGATTGAATATATGTTTATTAAGCACTTGTATTTCTTCTTCATGAAGTGTCTGTCCCTCTTCTTTGTCCATTTGTCCCAGTACATCCTCCTAATAGATTCTGATCCTAGTTCAGGAGGACAGATCTGATGAGACTGAATAAATAATGGTCCACAATGACGCAGAGTCAGCCCAGCCTTAGAAGCCCCATCAGAAAGCAATCAGCCCTAGGGATTGCGCGCCCTGCTGACATGCTAAGCTTCCAGCACAACACTTAAGTCCGATTCAGCGAGGGTGGACACAGGACACGTACATGGCTCTACCTTGAATCTCTGTGACAATCTAAAGTCTTCCTAAAGCCTTAAATATTGGCCCACACACCTTAAAAACTTCATTATACAAATGGCAACAACCTGACTGTCCTTGCTTGCACAGTAAAGAAGCAGATGAAATCAGTGTGACTTCTACTACAAACAAGAGGGTCAAATAGTTTTAAATAAATTTAGGACAGCTTTTAAACAAAAATCATTTCCCAAGTTGGTGTTTCCATAAAATTCAACATATATTCATTAAGTGAAGATATTTTGCTGACAACTAACAGGTTGAATATATATTTGTTAAGCACCTGTATTTCTTTAATCATACATATAGCTTCACATGAAATGTTTTAACAGGTAAGAGAAGAGACTGTCTGCCCTCTGCTGCTCCTTCCTGTGCTCCAGGCACCCAGAAGGCAAGGGGAGCAGCAAGTAGACAGGGAAGTGCAAAGTTGTACAGCAGAAAACGAAAGGCTTCCGCTGGGCGATGCTATCTGAAATGATACAATAACACAGAGGCCAGTTGTATTGCAGGCATGGATCATCCTGGGACATTTTCCCTCCCTGGATGTAGGTGTTGGGAATGATAAAGTGAAAAGGAGATAAACTAACATCAAGTGAACACGCATCACTATGCTCAGCATCCTCACTTTTATCTTTTTAATCTTTTGGGTTCTCGGAAAAGTCACGATGCATTTTTGCTTGAAAAACATAGAAAAAGTAGGTCATAACTTTTCCGACAACCCAATAGCTAGCTCAGAAAGTACTCTTAGGATCACTTTCAAAGATCATATAAAGTTTAGTCATTCAGTAGCATGTTTTCACGGAACAAGGGATGGGATATGCAGATCTGACAGTGAAGACAGGAGATGTAACTGACATAAAGAATTAAACATGTACTTACCCAATGCCCTGAGCTATATTTTCTAATTGCCGACACATACAGGACCGAACTTCGTATTCTACATCTTGACAGAGTGATTTTACTAAGGGAAGTATTTCTCTTTTAATGCTTGGAGGGGGAGGAAAGAAATATGCAAATGGATGAGTGTTTCAGATAATTAACATTTGCAAACAATCATCATCAAAATCTTAGCTTAATAACAATTATACTTTAATATGAAGCTTTAAAGTTTGCTTTACATTTTATATATGTTATTATATTTGGATGTTATCATCAGCCAATTGCAAATTATGTGTATGTCTGGGTCTTTTTAAAATAACAGTTAATTAGGGATTAGTAGCTAAATGTCTTAGCTAAGATAAAAGGCTACAGGCAAGTGGAATATCTCATTCTAAGAAACATCAACCAAAATATTCTTCAATTCTACAGTTACTCTTGGGTCACAACTATATATCATGCCATTCTTTCTATCACATTCTATTATTTCTATAAATCTATTGGTATTTATCATCCAGGAAGAGAGTAGTTTATGAATTATAAACATTCTCCATAAAATCTTAAAACAAGATACATCAATCAAAAGAATGCTTTCATCACAACACTGGAAGAAAAGATAAAGTCTGTGTCTATGCCATGTTTACCAATTAATGCTATGATATCCTCAAAACTACACTAAGGTGTGTGTGAAACAAGGAAGATTAAGAAGGAAAGAGAAGAAAAGTTAAGCTCATTGATTTTGAAAAGCCACGAGATCAAAGAGAAATGCATCAGTGCAGAATTCTGAGAATTCTAGCTACAACAGCTAAACATACAGAGCATGGAATAATACAAATCTATTATAATTGTCATAGCCATTTTAGATCAATTTAAGAAAGAAGACAGAAATTATATACAAATACTCACGTATGGGCATCAAATTTGTTCGTCAATTTTCCTAAAATTTTACAACTAACTAAACGAGACTGGACTGTTTGTGAAAGTTGTGCCTTGGAAACAAGTGGATTCAAAATCTAAAGAGAAAAGATTTAGAGAACAAATTCACAAAATTTTATATATTCTTGCCACTAACATAAGCTATTTTCTTCAAAGAATACATAAACGTGCTAAATATTTTTAAAGAATTTGAATTATAACTTGAGGTACACGGTTGTTCAGAACCTGGATCATTTTGTTTGTCTTCTTAAAGTAAATATGATGCTAAATTATGCAATTAAACACAGCTGGACACCAAACAAATGAATTAAAGCATGTGGTGAATTCCGCAGTGATTTAAATACATGGAAAGCATAATTTTTAAATACACATTTTCAAAAGAAAAAAAGCAAATTAGTTACCAGATAGTCTGAAGTTTATTTTTATTTCATGCAAATTTTTATATTTCTCCTAAAGGGATGGAAAACAATATAGCTTCAAATGGATTCAATTAAGTAATTCCATAATTTGAATATAATAACCAGAGCGATCCTGTATGGTGCACGTGGCAGGCACTCAGAAACCCAACAGCATGAGAGACTGTGCAAAACTGTGATGGGCAGACCCTGGTTCTGGCCCAAGTTCTTTAATCTGTGAATCTGGGCAAGTAACCTTTCTATTTCTTACCCCCAGGCTTCTCATCTATTTAAGATGGAAATTAAAATATGTTTTACTAAGATCCCTCTGAGTTCTAAAATTCTAGGACTCTAGTAAAACAAAAAAAATCAACTGTTTTTTCTTTTTCCTCTCAACAAAGTAGCCAGAATTGCTGAATGCATGACAAATGTATTTAAAAGTGAAAGCTTTGAAATAAAAGACATATTCAAAATCTTTAAAATCACACATTAAATAATATACAGCATTCTGGAGTAAAACTGTACTACATATCCCTCTTTAAAAAATATAAATAACACATGTTGACATTATGCTAAATACTGCTGAATAATTTAAATATGTGTCATCAGCTAGCTGTTTGGCATCAAGTTTAGAGACATTCTTATTACTGAGTAAATCTTCCCATTTTCAAGCAGGTATGCAGGCATCGAGATAGGACTACCTGCCTAAGGGCAAAGACACTTTGTGGACATGTCACTGACTAATAACATTTTTCAACCAAGACATATTTGAAAGGAAATATATATAGGAAGTGTACTTTAAGAATGAAAAAATCATTTCATGAAAGAATAAATTTCCTTTCTAGTTTTCCAATTCTCTCATCTTAATTTACTAAAACTTTTAGAAAAGGGCATACTGGACAATGTTGAAAATTAAAAAGTAACAAACAAATTGGCAACAATATTTGCAATAAATATTATAAAGGAATGGCAACCTTTATAGATAAATAGCACATGTAAATAGAGATCAAAGTATACAATCAGACAATTCAAAAGCGTAAACAGGATGTTATAAATACAACATAAGAGAAAATATTCAATAACATAATAAAAAAATTCCAAAATAATACAATTCTAGTGGCCCATCAAATTAAATTGGAATGCAATTGCTGATAAGAGTCCAGGAAAGCATGCATTTTCATATATTGTTTGTCAAGAGCCTTAATAGGAATGCCTTCTGATCCAGTAATTCCACTTTTTGGGGAAGCTATAGCTAATGAAATTTTCTGAAAAACAAGAAAAGCTCCACAGAAATGTTCACTGATGCCTTGTTTTGATAGTAAAATACTGAATCTAGGCCTAAATGTTTAACAAATAAAAAAAATTGTAGCCACAACCAGTGATAAATAACAACCACATACAAATTCATTATGATCATTAATGTGGCAAACAACAACCCTATACAGGGAAAAATATGAAATGAAAATATATCAGAATGTTCAAAGAGGCTAAGTACAGAACCATGATATTTTGCCTTTTATTTATAACTCAAATCTTTTTTTCTTTAAGATTTATTTATTTATGCATACAAGAACTGGGGTACAGGCCAGAGGTGTGGGGGGGTGAGAGGATTCACCAGAGACAGAATGGGAAGCAGAACTGGCAGGTCTACTGAAATACACTGCTGAGAGGAGCAGCGGGCGAGGCAGGAGAGGTCTGCTGCGGCGCCATGTTGGCCAGGGGTCGAACTGGTGCTTCAGTGGCTGAGGATAGCTTCATAGGCTGTGTCTTAACCCCCTGCGCCACCAGGGAGACCACTATAACTCAAATCTTGCATAAAGAACATGTGTGGCTTTCAGAGTGGAAAATAAACCTATTCTTAAAATTTTTTAAATACCATTTTAATTTTTTTTAAAGGGGGTTTAAAACAGTTTACTTATTAGTATGTTAATAAAAAAAAAAAGAGGTGTTACCTCATGCCTTAGGGTTTCTTTGGGCAGAACTTCTATCACAGACAAAAGAGTTTCCAGCCAGGCGTTGCTCACACCTGATTGATGGATAGAAAATCAAGAGCTTCACTAACAAAGTCACTTTCAACTCAGTCATTAATAATTACAATAGTACTTAATGATACAGGGGAATAAGTACTTTCATTATTATTACAACAAGTTTCTCTATTTTTCCTCTTGGCCAACACCTAGAAAAGTTTTACACTTTCAAAAATATACTAGGGGGCTACCTATAATCCAAAGTGTGCACTTTTGCTGTACAATACTATCAACATAAAGATTGTATAGGAAGAAAAACCTCAAGAGAAATTATCAATCACGCCATGATTGAATGAATGGGTGTTCAACTTTCAAGGTTCCTGATTTTGCAGTTCTGGTCAGGAAACTGCCATGGCTGTTTTCAGTTGTGCCAATCACCACCACTGGGCAGCGCAGCCTCCTCAGGTGGCCCTCAGATCCAGGTGACGTCACTGTCACATCCAGGGAGCAAGAACATGCCCAGCCGCGCATGCGGGGCCCTGACCTGCGTCCCTGTGCTCCAGGTGCAGCAAGATGAGTTGGAGGAAGGAGTGCGCATAGGTGTGGACCGACACCGACTCTTCCTGGAGGATGGTCAAAAACGACATGGCAGCCGTCACCTGCATCTCCACTCCCGCAACGAGCAGCGCCTCCTGCGTGATCAGAGAGAGTTTGCTATTACAGAGATGAGAGGTCGGAAATGATCCTTTTTAAACATCCCAGGTCAAAGACACCAAACAGTCCTAATTCTACTAGACAACTATATATGACCTTTAAGGATATGTACTTCATTTAAGTAAACTATAGTAATCTATTCCTCCTCATTAAACTCAGACCACATAAGGTTTAAATGTCTTGGGAATTTATGAAAAAACATCTAATTGCTTTTTTGAATGAATATTAGGAAAAATACATAAACCTTTAAATAGTAAAAAGGTATCTGATTTCAAACATCAAAAGATTTCAATTTCTATTTTGCTCTTGGTAGTGTAGTTCGTCATCCTACTAGAACAATAATGCCAAAGCACAGTCATGCGTGTTTTCATTACTTGTATTTCTACTTCTGAAAACAAACACTATACATTCTACTATAAAAAGGAATACCTAAGATTTTGAAATGCATTTTTCCCTTTAAACAACTTGCAACATAAATTAATGTGAGTAAACTGTTTTAAAAAGAAGGAACTTTTAAAATGTAAAAATAGTTCTAAAAATCAATTATATTCCGAGCCATCTATAGTCACCATTTAAAGTGAAAGCCTACATTAGAATATTTGTTTTCAAACCATCAAAGTAAAAAAAAAAAATTACTTTTCATATAAGCCTCATAAAGATATTACCTATACTTTTTAAGATACGTGTAGTGTGAACACAGTTAAAAGTATTACTTAGCTTACTCAGTTATGGGAATTACCCTTGATTGCCTATTTTAGAATTAATAAAGTGGGCAGAACAACATGGAACTTGCGATGTGGATCAATTTCCCTATCAGTGAATTTAAGAAAATTAATCTTTCTGCATTGTTTCCAAATGAATGAATTACAAATTACAGCACTTTTGGAGATAAATTTCAATCATTTTAACTAGATCTTTCACGACTTACCAACGTGCACAAACTGAGCATTTAAATAACGACCCTCATACATCCAGCTGGCTCCAATCAACACAACTCTTGCAAATCTGGAGGGAATCACTCAACTGATCTCTCCCAGAGCTGCTCCCCCTACAATCTTCTTTATCTCAGTAAACAGCAAATGCCAATTCTGCCCTTCCTGTTGAGCTCTGAGGTCACTCTTGTCTACACTCTGCCTCTCACCACAATCAAACGACCACTCAACACTCATCAATAACCCACCCCGCATTACCTATACCACTACCGCCCTGGTCCAAGCCGCCATCACCTCTACACTGGACTATTCCAATAACCTGTGAATTAGTCCCTGATTCCTTCATGGCTGCCTACCGTCTGCTGTCTGCACAGAAGCCAGACAGTCTTTAGAAAAGAAGTCAGATAATATCATTTTCTGCTCAAAATTCTCCAATGGCTTTCCATCTCATTCAAAGAGAGTCACAATCCTTTCAATGCCTTACAAGATATGTTCCCAATGTCCCTTTCCCCAGAAGTCTACATGGTTGGCTCCCCGATATCTTTCAAGTCTCCATGTAAGTATGGTCTTCTTATGAGCTCCCTGATGACCCGATTTTAGACTGAGAGAAACTCCCTTGCCCCTGCTCTCACTGCTTCTCACAGCACCAGTGTCGCCATCATCCAACATCTTCCCTCACTTACGATCTGGAGCATAAGCTTCATGATTGCGCGAACTCTGGTCTGTTTTCACTAGTATACCCCCCACTCTGAGCACATGGTGGGCATTCGGTGAGGAACTGCTGATGACTGAGTATCTCTTACCCTGTCACCTAACTTCCTGCTCTCGCCGCTCTCTTCCTTCACACACACTTTCCACATCTCCTAAAAGGAGGCTTCAAGAGACTTTGAAGTCAGTCCTAAAGATTAGGGATTGGTAGAATTAGACACAAGGCAAAGCAAAAATGGATCACACAGAAATGCATTCTCAACCCGCTTTCCATCCTGTCAGTAAAGAGATGTTCTTCTCTCTCCTACCCCAGCATCTCCGTAATTGTGACTGACATGAGCAGAGCCCAGACTCCTGGTGGGGCCCTGCTGGCATCATGGCAGAGAGAATATCATTCCAGAGCAGAACAGACAGCCCTGGAGCCATCCAGTACTTGGCTGGCCAGTCAGCCAATAAACGGCAACTCTCGCCTGTCTGATGCCAAAGCTAAGCACTGAATTCTCTCCTCACAGCTTCTGCACTTTCATTCACCACTTATTAAGACATAAACCAATCCTCAGCCTTCACACGGGAGATCTGCAGGGGCTTTACTGTGGCGAATGCTCACGTGGTTTGGTTAATACCAGGAGAACCGACTGCAGACTAGACTGGCCGGCTTTCGTTTGGGTTTAAATGTGTCTCATCTCACACACACAAATGCTATTTTAGTTTTTCAACCAACAGTCAATTAAATATCTTAAAAGTTCTTGACTGAAAGAAAAAGAGAAGGATAAGGTGTAAAGCAGAAGCAGCAAATGGTCTCTAACATCAGCCCTCCCACACCCCCGTTTTACTGTTCTTGAAACAAACATTTGATCCACACTAACAAATTTGGATTTGGAAAATGCTTTTCAAAGATTTGATGTGGCCAGAATATATCACTTACAGGTTGCAGAAGGTTTTTATTTTAAAAACAGAAAGAAGTTGGCCAAGAACTATGGAGGCAAATTGTGACAGCCACAGCGTACATTCGGGTCCACATGAGTCTGCTGTTTTAAGTTCCAAGAGATGTAAATCCTGGCCCTGCTGCCAGGCTGGTTTTGTACGTAAGCAAACTGTATGTGAAAGCAGGACATGAGCAGCTCTCCAGTGTCACATCTTCTTACAATTTACTTAGTCTTGGCTCCCGCAGTAACATTTGCCTCAACTACTTTGCAAATAATTTTCGAAAAATCCTCAAGTCTTATCAGGATTTGGGTTTTTCTCTTGTGCTGACTTCAACATCTGGGACTGTCCACTGTTAAGAAACCAGCAGAGACTAAAAGAGTGTATCACTGCTAAAAATCAACTGACCTCTAAACATAATTCTCTGAAACCCAATGCAATAAGAGTTTGATACTTACCATGCAGTGTTCTCCTCCACAGAGTCACACCCTCTGGACAAACACAGTGAGATCCATACTCTCTGGGGAAATAAGTGTGCATCCTCATAGGCCTTGGGAGACACTGAAAAGTAAATTCCTCTATTGCTTCCTTGGCATGCCTTGGTGCCAGTTATGGCTCCTCCTATAAACTATTATATAGCTGACATTCCAACTTGAATCCCTCAAAAATGAAAGGAGACATTTTATGAATGTGTTGATGGTACATTTCCAGATTTAAAAAACTATTCCCATTTGAGGAAGGAGGATTAGACAGGGATGTTTAAATGCATCCCTCAGGCAGCATGAATGATATAAAAGCGCATTTTGTGAAACAACCTAAAGGTCCTTGCAGAGAAGAAACTGCTCTGTCTCTAATAAATCCACTGAGAAAAAATTTCTCTTTACCGATAACATGAAGAAACATTAAATAAGTCACTGGTTGGTTCCACAAGAGAAACTACTTTGGATTCACACATTTGGAACTAATTTAAAATATAAACCTGGTTAAACAAATTTTTATCACAACTGGTGCAAGTAAAAGCTAAGGGAAGCCTAAAATTACAAATTACTTGTTTGCTTTTAGAGCTAGCATAACTGGCTGCTGCTTGAAATTAAATAATAAGGATTTAAATATTAAAATATTGAAGACCTGGGACTTACAAAATATCCAGGGTTTTATGGCCACCATAAGTGTGGGAATTTTCAGTAATTAACAATAACAGAGAAAAGCGCCTTTAACAACAAAACTGAATTTATAAAAGGCTTTTGAACAGAACTTAATATGAGTAATTGGAACATGCCAACTCTAAGAGACTTTTAATACTTAACCAAACCTCACCAAAATCAAGAATGAGGAGAACTAGCAGAGAGCACTGAAAATCCGAATCAGAGAGAGGCAGAGGGGAAGCACATGGAGGCCCTACACGGGAATGCTAGCTCGCTTTAAATCTCCATTTCAGGGATTAGCAAGGTTCATGATGCGGTACACACGAAAACACCCTGAAGATCTCTTTCCAGAAAGGAAGTCCAGACACCAATAGCAGCTGCCGATGACCACCACTAATGTCAACGATGCGCCCAGTCACGCACTCCTCAGCTAATCCACAAGCAAGTACACTTCACAACCACGGTTTTGAAACTGAGCTTCCAGATGGACTACTCTGCCAAGTCACTTTTGCATACCAATAAATTTATTTTGCATATAAAAAATAAATCACAATTTATTTATATTTTAGGTAATTTCATTATTTAGGTTTTAAAAGTAAATTTAAAAAACAATTAAAAACATTGCAAAGAAAGAATGTGCTTACCATGGAAATACTCAGAAGATACCAAGGCTATACCTAAGTATTACAAATGATCCATTGCAGTCATATTTAGTTAGTTTTTGAAAAAATTACAAACTTTTCTTGGAGATGGGGGGAAAGCTACTATAAAGAAGGGGAGGGTTTCTTTCCAATCACTCATAATACTGTTTCCTTCTACCTACTCTCTCCCTAAGGTAGCCCAATGAAAAGCTAATTCTAATAATATAATTTTAGTTGCAGTCACAGTCACTGATTAAGTACCAGTCTCACAGTCAGTGTTCTGGAAACTGGAAGGCAGTCCATTATGTACATTTAAACATTCAGCAAATAATCCTTCAGTTACATGCAGGTACTGTGCTGGGTGCTGGAGACTTAGCAATGGGCAGACCTACCACAGTAGCTGTTAATTCTGTAATTAAGTTGTGGTGAGAGCTATAGATGAGAAGTACAAGATGCCCGAAGAACATCTAACAGTGACCTGATGTACTCACGGGGATGGGGGAGGTAGGTAGACACTGAGAAGCGATAAACTGAACTTCGTGAAGAGAAAGTTCAAAGTAGACAAAATTTGGGCTCAGGGTAGGCACAGCAAGAGGAGTTAGAAGCAAGCATTCTCCACACTAAGAAGCTTAAAGAAGAACACGCAGAGTTAGGGAGGGTGAGGCTCATGAAACACGCAGTGTCCACCTTATGTAGGGCCTCAGATGCATGAGGATATTCTAATTGCATTTTTTTAGTACTTTGAAATATTATGATGATTGCAAAGTTGAAAACAATCAGAAAGGAGGCAGGATGGAATGGGAGGGAGTGGGTGAGCCTCTCTTGGGAAGCTATTTCACTTAGCTGAGCACAGTAGCTTGGACTAAGGTTGGAGAGAGGTCGATGTTGTCAACTAAGGACAAGTCCTTAGTTTCTGACAACAGAATGGCAGTCACCAGAGGAGAAAAGGGTGGGTTGATGAATAGTACAGGCACAAAGAGCTGACTGGGTGGTGGCAGATGGTAACTCGGTCTTTGATGGTAGACAGTATGGTATATATATTTGCTAAGTTGTGAAACTGTACTCTTGAGCTTAAATGGAGTTGCAAAGCAATGTTCCTTAAAAAAAAAAAAAAAAAAAAAACGGGTTGTACAACATAGTAAAAGAACAGATGGTATCAAAGGTCATTCCCCAAATCCTGGCATGTAAACCAGAGGTTCACAGTGTTGCCCATTAGGACGGGAGACACTGAAGAATGTCCAAGTGTTCAGATGGAAATACCAGGAGCTCAATTTTGGATTTAACTTTGACATGCCTTTGAAGCATCTGAATGAGATTACAAAAGGAATTGTATTTATACATTTGATACTCTGAAGAGGACTGCTATAACTAAGAGAATTTCTATTTTTTAAATATACCTTGTATTTATTTATTATTTTTTAAAAAGATTTATTTATTTATTTATTTATACAAGCACTGGGTACAGTCAGAAGTGCGGGAGGGTGAGAGGATTCACCAGAGCCAGAGCAGGGAACAGAACAGGCAGACTGAAGTACACTGCTGAGGGGAGCAGCGGGCGGCAGGAGAGGTCTGCGTGCCATGTGGGACCCTCCTCCAGTGGCTGAGGAGCAGCCGGGAATTGAACCAGTGCCGCAGAGGCTGCGGGCAGCTTCGTAACCCAGCGCTCAACCGCTGCACCACTGGGGAGGCCCGAGAATTTCTATAGAATAAAAAGAATTTCTATAGATGGCATTTAAAGGCATTTAAAGGCAGTCCTGCAGAGAAAACATGGACTGAAAGTTAGATTATCTGTTACTATAAACATAATTTCACCCCAACAAAATGAGAGTTTTGAAGCACTCAGAGTTTAAATAAGTCATCCATCACAAGTGTTTTGGCAAGATACTTAATTTTAAGTTCTGGTTATTCCTAACACATCATTAGAAAACAATTAATTGATCCAGGGCTAGGGGTGATTATTGGGCATGGTGGAGGGGTATATGCAGATATACAATTAAAAACACCTGGGTTAATATCACTGTGTGATTAAATTAAAAAAAAAAAGAATGGGAACTTTCTCCTTTAGTCATGACAGACTAGGAAATTCTAATCAGTTCTCCTGATAAGGATAGTTTAAACAGTCGGACAAAATACAAAAATCTTAACATAAAGAATCAAAATATAGGGCCTCCCTGGTGGCGCAGGGGTTGAGCATAGCGCTGTGAAGCTGTCCACAGCCTCTACAGCATGAGTTCGATCCCCTGGCCAGCCAGGGAGCAACCTACAGGGCACAGCAGACCTCTCCTGACTTGCCCGCTGCTCCCCTCAGCAATGTATTTCAGTCAATCTGCCTGTTCTGTTCCCCGCTCTGTCTCTGGTGAATCTTCTCACCCCCCCCCACACCTTTAGCCTGTACCCCAGCTCTTGTATGCATAAATAAATAAATCTTTTTTAAAAAAAAGAATCAAAATATAAAAATCATTAGCATAAAGGCATATAGAAATTAACAAGCTTACCCATCCAAGTAAAAGACAATGAAAATCCAGAAAGGTGAGCCTAATCTGGGTCCTATTTTTCCTCTGGGAACATGTGCTGATTCTAGAAAAGGGTCCTGAGAGGCTGAAAGCTTAAGTGACTTTTGGCAGCCTTGCAGAGGTCCTGGTAAGCCCCCTTGGGATAGACTAAAGGTAATCCTGAAGCAGAGTGGCCTTTGCAGGGACAGCAGTCCTAGCTTAAAATCATCCACTACCTGAAATTGATTAGGTGAGACTTAACTGCTAGTGCAGTAAAGTGGATGCCAAAAGAAAACACATTCTCTAGAGAGGATATCTCCCCAAGTCTCAACTATTTCTATAAATAATTTTTTAAAGTACAAGATGAAACAAACACACAATAGCATCGAGGCACATGAAGAGATAAGAAAATATGAACAAGAGCCCATAGGAGCAATAGAAAATAGAAACGTACCAAAAGAGTTGTAGGTATTGGTGCCATCTGACAAGAGGTTAAGACACAAGTGAGGATTCAACAGAAAACTACATGATATTTAAAAAAAAATAATAATGCGGCAGATTTTTAAAAGAGCAAAGTAGAAATTCTAGACTGGAAAAAAACATCATAATCAAAATCAGGATAGACACAGATGATTAGTGACTGGGAATACAGGTCATGATAAAACAATCAGGATGAGTAACAGAGAAAAGGACGGAAAAAAAGGTAAAAGACAGAAAATACCATAGGAAGGTCTAACATAAGTGAAAGAGGAGTCCCACAACAGCAGAGAGAAGACTAGGAAGAACATATTTCAAAAGATAATGTCTGAAAATATTCCAACACTAAGAAAAGAAAATAAGCCACAAATTCAAGAAGCTGTGTATAAGCCAAAAAGAAGTCTTCCTACAGGCACAGCAAAATCCTGTTGGCAAGCGTCTGCTTTAAACGAATGTGAAATACATTTTCAGGCCAATGAAAGCTGAGAAAATTTGTCACCAACAGATTTGTACTAAAGGATGT